ACCGAAAGCAGAGGCGTGCGGCTGACATGCATGCTCTGCACCTTTGACAGGATCTGCTGCGGTTCCCGCGGGGACCAAGTTATCATGAGGCCCCCCGGTTGACGTGGGGGAGGCTTGGGTTTTCTGTGGTGGTGAGGCTTGCATGTTGTTCGCCTCACTTTGTGCAAGTAGGCGAACCGTGGAGTGCCACGGCTGTGAGATGAGGCCTCAGATGCTGGAGTGAGGGGTTGTTTATTAACAAGTGTGCAGCCTGGTGGCGAGTTTTTGGAGGTATAAGTTGGGTGGTTGTCGCTGTGAGGGAATGCTGCTTTCGACATCAAGATTCACAATCACAACTACAACCTACACAACCAATCCGAGCTTCCTCACGTGGACATGCTCAAAATGGAATTTACAAACGATACCCGATAATGCAGAGACTCGACAATATCTCCCCTCCCATTTGTTCTTTACTTTACCTGATTTCGACAATCATGTTTCCTACGTATCTTTGAGGGAGCTGGACTCCTTCAACAATCGAGACTCCTTTCACGAGTCACATCGATGATGCATACGCATCAAATTACGTTGACCGCGCTTAACTGCGTGAGTCTTTTACCCAGCGATTGCCACGAGCACATCACCACAAGCACATGGGCTACGAGTACACTCCTTTCTCCAAGCACATGACTGCAAGCTCATAATGAGCATCGCTGGGGCCCACGTTTTCCTCCCAGCTTCCTCAAACAGACAATTACAGATTTTGAGAAGTTGGTAGTCCATACCGACGAGAACACCGATGATTTGGTATGGCGAGATGATCTATATAGTTATCCAACAGCCAGGCGGCGAGGATACTTAACGATGCGAAACCTCACCTCGACGAGGACCAAGGCATCGGCTTGCAACACTTTTTTGGGATAAAAAAAGGGGGGGGTTTTGTATTCGCTCTTTCTTGGATTAGAAGGTGTTTTTTACTGGATCCGTTTAGAAGGTGACATGATAGAAGGGTTAGATGGAGGTGTGGCTTGCTTAGTTGCTTTGCGAGTTGGGATGAGGGAACTTGTTGGGTTATAGAGTCACTTGCTCTGGTTTGTTTTACTTTCATTATATAATTGAATGCTTGAGTGTGTAAATACATGTTCTTTTAGTTAGGTTGATGCGTGGATGGTGATGTTTGTTGCCCATGTCTTGAGAGCCCAAGCCTGGACGACTACATGGTTCCGTCTTCAACACTCGCATAACCGATGTGACTGAAACAAGTTTCAGGACTAATTATCTCATATTTGCGCATGTTACCAAGCATTCTGGGGACCTTGTTGAACACTCCGAGATAGTCTCCGTACGGCGGTGACTTTTCGGATACTTCTCTCGAGGTGCCTATATATCCATGCCCCAGAACCCAGACTTCCCTACTAATCTGTATGAATCTCTCGATGATAAAGAACGTGTTTTCGCTTGCAAGAAAAGCTACAAGATCTTTCAACATGTCCAGAACAGAGGCAGCCACCGCCATGAAGACGCTCACAGAGCTATACAACAGTCCGGAAAAGGGAATCATGGAAGAGCAGATGCTCTACGTTTCTCGACACATGATGCCCAAGCTGATCGCTCCTCTGCCTCGACAAATGGGTATCACAGACAAGACGTCAACGCCAGTGGCATTCTTCGACAATGCTTGTGGTAGTGGTGTCCTCACTCATGAGATTCAGCAGATACTGCCCAAGGATGTGCTTGAGAAGAGTACGTTTTTGAGTGCAGACAATGCGGAGGGTATGGTAAATCTCTCAAAGAAGAGAGTTGGACTGGAAGGATGGGTAAACATAGAGGTCAAGAAGCTGGATGCAACGGTAAGCCGGTTGAGGCAGTTGGAGTTGTCGGATACTAACGAGTGATAGAACACTGGCCTTCCAGAAAACAGCTTTACTCATATGGGACTTGGCCTGGCACTTCACATCATTCCGGATCCCGATGCAGTACTAGCTGGTGAGTCAAGTATCTCAAACTCTCGAGACAATTCTGATAATGTGTAGACGCCAAGCGCATCCTCAAGCCGGGCGGCATCTTTGGCGCCACGACATTTCACAAGAGTAACGTCTTCTGGCAACCCGACATGAGATCCGCCTTTGAATCATTCCCCTTTGAAGCGCCCTTTCTCAAAGAAGTAAAGATGCAAATGCACAACCAAGGCGACTGGACAGATCCAGAGTGGATCGAGAAACACCTAAAGAGCAAAGGGTTTGTAGACGTTCAGGTGACTACCAACCCAGGAAGCTATCACATCGAGAATGCTGAAGAGTATGTGCTCTCGTTTGGAATGATGCTTGCTTGGTTGATGAATGCGGCGTGGAGTGAGGAGACGAGGAGAGAGCATCCCGTGGAGGAGGTTAGGGAGTTGTTGAGGAAGCATTTGGAGGAGAAGTATGAAGGGAGGGGGTGGGATATTGAGTGGAAGGTCATCTGCATGACAGGAAAGATTGAGTGAGTCTGATTGCTAATAGGAGAAATTGAGATACCATGGACAGTTTGTTTTGGATCTGGCCTGAGGCACAAAGGGAAGGGTGGTGGCATCTGCAGCCTGTTGGAGATGCACCAGTTTGCACAATGCCTGGCTACCTGCGCCCGCCAAGCGCTAAACATGGCACTAGGTAGCAGTTTCAAAGGATATTAGAGAGTTGCTTAGATGCAAGAAATACTCAACGTACCTTATTGGCTTGCAAGCCTTGAGTGATCTGCCCGCCGGCCTTGAAGTGCAGATGCAGAACAGGGCATCTACAAGCTCGATGCGATACCAAAATCGTTTTTTTTTTGTAGTAAAACTGGGTCTTTTCATGACACTTGAAAGCGCTCCGCCTATTTGCCAGCTTGTCTCCTTCATCCACGAAAATACCAACAGACGTGCGTCGGACAGTCTCAAACTCCTGAAAGCGGCCCCTCTTCGACGTACCAACCAGCAAACGAATAGCGCACAGGTCACATTGATGAAGGCAGGACTCTAACCAGATTTAAGTCGAGAAAGCAAACGTCGTTTTATGCTTCTTCAACGGTATCGTTGTCAGCGTGCAAGTGATGAGCCAGAACGGAAACGGCCCGTCCCCGGGGACCGCGATGATGTATAAGTGAGACGTTACTCTCAAAAGCTATACAGATATCCCCGACTGTCTGCCTCCTCGTGTATACTATCCTCATCCTAAGCCGCAAATTGTCTTGCAAGTCATAACGTGTTGTCAAGGAACCATTCGATATAAAAAAGTGTGAGGACATACGGAGGTCCCTCTGGCAGAGAGGTCAACAGGCATCATCCAGAGCAGGGGCAAAGACAAGGGGAGGTAAACAGTGTGTTTTCTTGACAACAAGATCATATACCCAAGAATAAAACTTCAGATTTATCAGTCTGCATTTTACATAGCTATTTCTCTAACCTGACTGCAAGAGCACTAGTGGTAATGTCGACTGGCTCTTGGTGTAGGTACTGAAGGTTGAGATTACCTTGATGACGGATTGAACCCCCAAGACAACTTGCCTCGTCGCAGGTAATGAATCGAAATGGTGTAAGATATGAAACAAACTGCCGACAAGAGCCAGTTTACCATTCTTTAATACTAACATTCGTCACACGCTGCCCTACATCTTCAACATTCCCGTTCCCCCTGGATCAACCAACCACGTGATCCGCCGCCAGCATTGGAACCAGGGTGGCATCTCCACATTGTTCAACCCGCGAGTTTCTGGTGCTTGGCAAAGAGAGAAACGTACGCAAGCCTTTTTTGATCGAGCCATGTCATGATCTTGATTGCCCCGGCGCTTCAAGCAGTCAAGTTAAAACCTCTTGCGCCGCTTCTCCCAACATGTTTGCCGCCTTGACTTGGGCTGTCGTCCTCGGCGCATTGTCGCCCCTGGTCGCTGCTACTCATGAGGAAGGGCTTCCGTCTTATCTCTATGGTGCTTCGATTCCTGTCGAGTGCATGAGCCGTAGCTCGTACGTTCTGTTACTGTCAAATGTCCTCATGCCTGCTAACTTGTTCAAGGGAAACGGGCGAACATCTCGAAAACGAAAAGCACGAAATCGAATGGATTCCTTTCCCCGTGTGCAACGAGACCGGCCGTCCCCTCGAGTTCAACTACGGCACCGAAGGCGAGACCAACTGCACCATTCCCATCATCGACGACCCCTTCTTCCACCTCCTCGAGTTCTACATCCACTCGGACGCGCCCTTATCGTGCCGTCTCCCCTCGCGACCGGCTCCTGAGGTCGAGGTTGTTGGCGAGAAGCTGCCCGATAGGCAATACATCCCTCTCGTCTTCGCCCTCGCTGGAACACTCCAGCTGAGCCACATGCACGTCAGCACACATATGAACGTCTTGTTGCACAGCACGCCCAAGCACCACCTGCACCCCCACGATAGCGGCGTGCTCGACTCGGCCATCGCATACAGCACGAGTCCCCTGAGCCACCTGCAAGGCTCGTTCACTAGGAAGCTCGTTATTGGCGACCCGCTACCTCTGAGCCTGTCAGTGCGCTGGTTCCCTACACCGGCGCTGCCCAAGACCGAGGGACGCGTTGAGTGGCAGGGCTTGGGTGGTCACATCTACGCCAGCACTGTATTTTACAGCCTCGTGTCGTTTGGCGCCGGCGTGCTAGTCGCGGCCATGTACACACTGGGCGTCGTGTTGCCTAGGAGGCTCAAGGGGCGATCACTTGGCGGTGCGACTCCCTTGGGATATGGAATCAACAGCGTGGGCAATGGATGGGGATACTCGAAGCAGCAAAACAAGAGAATAGACTAGAGCCTCTTTTTCGCTGTTCATTCGTGCATTTCTGGAGTCTTTTGGACGGATCTTGGGAGTTGTTTGGGAACAAGTGATATTTGTAATCTGAAAGCCTGATAATTCATATGCGGCTTTGTACAACCTTATTCCTGTTGCCTTTTCATCTACTGTGTCTTTGCCTTGATGTCGGTGCTCACGCGACGTAGGAGCCTTGTGTACATGTCAACGGCCATGACGCCGGCTTTCAAGCATTAGTAAACACCCATGTGAAGCATGTCTGGAGACTTACGAATGATGAGAAAAGGAAGATAAGTTCCGTAGAGAAGGTTCGTCTTGTGCTCTTCTGAGACGAGCTCCGGGCCCATAGGAATCAACTCAGAAACACACGCCACGGTGCCCATGCCAGTGAGGCAGCCAAAAGCCAGGCCAGCAAGTTCAGTTGCGCCTGAGGATGGGCTCTTGGAGGAGAGCTGGGAGACGATGTAGATGGCTAGAGGGCACTGGACAAGTAGTTCAAGCCAGAGAAAGCCGTGAAACCAGTCACCGACGAACTTGTCCCCGAAGAAGGGATCCCCCGAGACGGTGAGGTAGGTGTCGCGGATGATGGTGAGGAAGTGAAAGGGCGCTGATGGGTTTCCGTAGAGGGAGTCTGGGTAGAGAGGGGTGAAGTCGAGGACTAAGGATGTTAGTATTGAGCATTGAGTTATGAGGGGCTTGTTGTAAACAGAGCAGAGCAACTCATGAACACAGAGCTCAACTGCACAGAACAGCTACATACCAAACATGCCAAAGAGCTGCACCGAGATGATGGCCAAATAGACCCAGTCGCGAATTGGTTTCTGAGCCATTGTGTCGTTGCACTATTGAGTCAAATGTATATCTGATCAATTGGGATTCAATTGTAGGTTGAAAGACTCTGAATAGTGTCTTCTGTTACTTTTTGTTGAGGGGATCTGCCGGCAGATGAGGGGGACCCGGCGGTCGGGAAATGAAACTCGGTGAGGCTGACCCTGACCCGCCAACGGGGGACGGGGGATGTCGGCGCCGGAATTGCTTCTTTTGGTCAGCTCGCATGCATGTATGATTATTTGTTACACAGGGGATTAATTGCTTCAATTGAAGAGTCTGTATTTTGATGCTTGAGCCAAGTTGTGCCCAATGGCCCAGAGCGATGAAAAGCGGTGATACAATGATCGGGCTGCCCAGCCCAAACCCGTCTATGGATATCTCAACAATAAACCCCAATTAATATACAAATAAACCTGACCTGCAAGTCTTTGATTCTAATGTGCCGGTGCAACACTCGCAAGCGACGTATCCAAAGCATCAGCATCGTACCCCGTCATCAAATCCGCCCAAAAGTCATCGTCAAACTGGAAATTGGCCGCCCAGTCTGGTGTCGGCTCTATCACGCTCTGTGTCTGCGCCAGCGCTGTACATGGAGTTTGGACATGTTGCTGCTGCTGATGCTGCTGTTGTTGTTCTTCTTGTGGTATTTTGGACGTGTACCATTGTCGAATCCATCGTACTTTGAAGCTGCATTTTAGAAACACGCTGCTGCCGTCTTCCATTACGCGACGTCTTCGGTCGAGGCGGAGTGCTTCTTGATCTGCCGCTTCAAAATGATCGCTCAAACCTTTGAGTGTATCTTGAAAATTGAGTCGTCGCCGTGCAAGGCTGGTGTCCCAATCTGGAGAGTTTTCTGAAAGGATGAGGCGTGAGGCTGTGACGGTCGCAAACGCGAGGACGCAGTTGACCGTCACAGGAAGGGTGGACATTTGAGCAGCAGGGATGGCGAGTTGCTCTTTGAATGAGTCTGCTACTGCTTCTAGGCATTTCCACATGTACTCAGAATGCTGAAGTGGTTCCGCGAGGGTTCCTTCTGAGGTGTTGAGGGGGGCTGCCCGCATGAGGATGGTGGGCTCGTAAAGTCGGACGAGCAAGGTGTAATAATGAGCCCAGAATGCACCTTTTATACTGTCAGTACACGTGGTGTGCCAGGAGGTGTATGCGCTTACGGTTCTGCTTGACAGAGTCTGGCTGGAACTTGGAGAGTCTCTCCAGCTCGCGCTGGACATTGTTCATGGTCATGGCAACATGGCCTCTAAATGTCGGAGGAGTAGGATCCAAGTAGTCGACGGCGGGTATGGCACTGAAGCCACGCTCAGCTAGGTGCTGCATCCTGACGAGAGCCACGAGGTACAGGTCGGACTCGTACTCGCGTGCCTCGATGAGGTGATCGCAGCATTGTGATAGATGGTTGCTCCACGGCACGATGGTGTTCTTTTTAAAGAATGAACTCAGTCTGGCTATGTTAGTTTTACTCAGTAAGGTAGAGCATGGCGGCTTACATGGCTGTTATGTAGTACATCCCCAGCACGGCTCTCTTGTCTTGTGACGATTGATCTGTCTTGATCTTGGAGCATGGCTTGCCCATTGAAGTCCATGCATCTCCCAGTAAGCTTCGCGGGGCACCGAGGATAGCTCCAGCTGGTCTGTCTAATCTCAAGTCAATTATGAGACCAATGGCCAGCTGGATAATGCTGGTGACCTGTAGGTCTCCATAGAAGTGAAAGTCGTTCCTGGAAGTGTTAGTTAGTGTTCAACCACGTTCAGATAATGATCAACTTACCAGGCTAGGTAGACTAATATCCCCTGAAGAATGTCTAGTGACCTTTCCTGGCCCATGACTACATGCTCAGCGAGGTACTTGCGGAACCAGGCTTTAAACTCCATCTGCACTTTCTCTTTGAGCGGCGAGACAGCAGCGAGAATAGTCCAGAACAAGAATCGCGACTCGGAATAAAACTCATGCGACGCGAGTGAATCCAGCATGGGCACAAAGGGGAATTCGGGCACATAGTCCCGACGATACACCTCTAACCGTTTCGCAGCCTCATCATGGGTGATGCGGAAGCCTGGGAATAACTCCAGGTCTGCATAGTCCTCATCAGGACGCCCAATGATAGGAGGCGGCGGGAGGCGATCCTGGGCAAGCGGGACTGCCTGGATGTCTTCAGGGATTGTCTGCTGCTGCGATGGTACATCTTGGGGGCTCTCGGGTGTCAAGGGGGAGAGGCCTTTCTGAGCGGCGAGGAGAGACACGATGCCGTCAATCTTTTTCTCCAGTTGAGCCACTCTTCTGTATGAGAGTGTCAGTGAGGTGAAAACAAGGTGGGTGAGATTACGTACGTTGACTTTCCGCGCTTTTTCCTCTGTGTTGTTTCTGGTACTCGACACTCTAGCTTCATTCGAGAACATCTGCGATGATGAGTTTTTGTTCCTTTTTTGCAACGGGATATTTCTCACCTTGAACAGCTATTCTCTAATCGTCCAGCGCCTGAATTAGGCCACTGACACTTCATCTTTAGTCGAGCGCAGTTGACGCAAGCCCTTGTCTTGGTCTGTTCTGCTAATCCGGACCGGGCGCTTTCGCCGCTCCGACTAACGAGGCAGTCCTCCATGACAAACACACAAAAGAGTAGTACAAAAAAGAGTGAAGCGATGCCAAGAGACTTGTAAAGTTAAACAAAGGAGTAGTATTTACGAAAAATGAACTAAACGAGAAATCTACGGAGGTTGAATAAAGTCGCGACGTCCGGAGGTAAGGGGATGTTCAAGGTGATAAACCCGGGGGTCGGAGGGCTTTTTAAGGACCGGGTTGCCTGTTTTGGGGGGAGAGCTGACGACTTGACCCAGTTTTTCTGCCCACGGTTCGGACATCGGGTGGTAAAATGATGTCCGGTGTCCGACTTTATTTGCCTACCCTATGCTTCGATACCTATCCTACGATAAATCCTCTCTCCCTGCGTTTAATGCCTCGATGAAAGACTCTGTAAAATAATTAGTATCCGTGTGCTATAATCCATGTTCCAGGCCTTACCTCCGAGCTTCCAACGAGTACTGAATGACTCAAGAGTGCTTCGCAGCTCCTTCAAGTCTTCACCCGCAAGGCCATCCACATACAAGCGATCCATGCGAATAGCAGCACCCTGCAAACAGCATATGCCAATAAAGCAGGGCCGACTGTTATTAACCCAACCTCTATGACGCACAATCTCACCCTCAGTGTGAAATGTGTCAAACACAATATTGTGCACGCACTGAACAGCCGAACGTGTCGCGGGGCTACTGAGGGTGGATATCTGCTTGTCACGTAGACAGTACAAGATAGCCAAAGCGCTGCTCACAACGTCAGCATAACTGGCCTGCTTCCCAAAAGTGAGAATACTTACCTGAGAGACATTGCTAATGCCTCACATAATGGAAAAGATTTGCCCTGTGTTCTTGTTATGAGAGAGCTTACTAGCCTGTGGAGAGTTGTTTCTGCTTCTTCTCTTTGCTTTGAGTCTGAATTGACCACGGCGTCGAGTATCTTGCCAATGTGCAGAGCGACTTTTGCTCGTGCCAAAAACTTGCGAGCCAAGTCGTCGCCATAGAGATCCTCATCCGATGCCTTGGCAACTGCGGCACTTGCGAAGTGGTGGTTGAAACCAACGGATTGTGGTACATGGTATTCGAAGTCGGATAGCATGATGGTTCTATAAGAGCCGTTGGCATAGTCACAAGTCTTGGATTTTCTTGATGATGGTACTTACCTATCAAGTAGCACAATCCCGCTCCAGCACAGATCAAGTTGCGTTATCTCGGGTCTTTGTATCATGTCTCGATCACAGCCGGTCGGTTCCAGACTCAGCTGCTGCGCGAGACTCGTGCACACACCAAGAGTCCCATAGGCATCCTTGCTCATGCCATGACCAAGTTCGTATGCAACCAGTAAAATACCAGATTGGAGGAGAGCAATTTTCGAGACATGAGCTGATGTCTGAAGGAGAAAGAATAGGCGCCGCGCTGTGCGGTACAAAGCAGACCTGACTGAATGGTTTGGGTGCTGACACGGTTGCTGTATAAAGATGTAGATGCAAACAAGTAAAAGCGCAGTGACATCATTTTGATATCCCGGGTATCTGAAGAGATGATCTGTATCAAGATACAGCTGCTCCTTGTCCAATATGGGAAGCCAGCTGTGCGCAATGGCAAAGTAAGTCTCAATCATAGTGTGCAGGTTCGCACCGCCTGCGCTGAAGATGTCTTGGGCAAGTGTGGACAGTGTGGGCTGAGCATGGCTGCCCTCATCACCTACGCTGTCACTCGCACATGCTGCCCATATCAAGTAGCGTTCGGCCAGCGGTGTCAAGTCAAAACTGCACGAGTCTCGAAGATGTACTAGCACGGCCGCCTCTATCTGAGTTCCGGGTGAAAAGGGGCTTGTCTGGGATGTAGTAGTTGCTTTATAATCACAGGCAATCGCCTTGCTATGGGATGATGATCAGTGTCAGTAGAGGCTGTGGGGAATAAAAGACGTACGAGGTGCAGCGGGAGCACTGCGGGAGGAGCCTATCACATCGCTGCTTCTGGCGTCTGCAGGTGAAGCAGGACCCTGGAGCCAGTTGATTTGGAGAGCTCATTGTGTAGAGTTAAAGATGAAGAGTTGCGGCAAGTGTGCTTGACTTGGAACCTGAACAAGGGTCGGCCGTGGGTGGATGTCTTTTGAGAAGGGCCTGTCAGTCTGTGTTGGGAATAGCTTCAGCACTAGCAGGGGTCGGCCGATACCTGACACGGAGCTCCGGTGGGTCCGGACCGCTACCCTATATCCACAGACGTCGTCATGTTGGTGGAGGGATGTTTTATGTAAAAGCTCCGAGTAGTGATTGAGTAAGCGCAGCAAGATGGGCACATGTTTTCTTTGCACATATGAAGTCATTGCTGAAAAAAGGTAGCTTAAGCCGGTGCCTGACGGGTGGGGCCGTGTAGCCCAGATCCCGATTCATGTCATGCAAGTTGCGAGCAGGGGTTGTCCGTAGCGTCCGACTTGACGTGTGTATCGGAAATAGACATCAAATCAAGCTCAGTATACACGACCATCCTGTATTCCAGAGGCCAAACTGGTATAAATAAGACGGATGGTCTCTTCTCTAAAAGTCTTTTCAATAACAACAAACAAGCAAAACATCCATTCACAAACAATCCTCTTTTCGAAATCTACATTCTACCAAGTCACAATGGCTACTCCCACTTCCACCAGAGCTTGGTCTCTCCGCGAAACCGACCCCAGCAACTTCGATGGATTGGAGCTCAAGGAGAGCATCCCGCTCCCCAAGCTTGGCGACCATGATGTGTTGGTTGAGATTGAGGCCGTCTCGCTCAACTACAGAGATCTTGCCATCCCAAGGGTAAGACCCAATGACACATTGAGTTGGAATAATGTTTGCTAACTTTAATGAAGGGCCGTTACCCTTTTGTGATGAACCTTCCTGTTGTTCCTGGCTCGGATGCTTCTGGTATCGCTGTGGCGGTTGGCCCCAAGGTCACCGGCATCTCCAAGGGCGATAGGGTGTGCACACTCTTCAATGAACGTCACCAGACTGGTGAAATCACTCCAGAAGGAGTATCAAGCGGCCTTGGAGGAGCCATTGACGGCACACTGCGTCAATACGGTGTATTTCCCGAATACGGTCTTGTTCAGGCACCGCAGTCCCTGAACGCCATTGAAGCTAGCACCCTGACCTGTGCACCTCTGACGGCATGGAATGCTCTGTACGGACTGCAGTCCAAGGCTGTCATGGCTGGTGACTGGGTACTGACCCAAGGCACCGGCGGTGTGAGTCTCGCAGCCATCCAGTTTGCCGTTGCTGCTGGGGCCACCGTTGTTGCCACAACTTCTTCAAACGACAAGGTCGACGCCCTCAAGAAGCTGGGAGCTTCTCACGTCATCAACTACCGCGAGACGCCCAACTGGGGCGAGACCGCACGAGCCCTGACCCCCAAGGGTCTAGGCTTTGACCACATCATCGAGGTTGGCGGTCCTGCCACGCTTGAGCAGTCGCTCAAGAGCATCAAGCTCGGCGGAGTCATCACCATTATCGGGTTCCTCTCTTCGTCGGACAAGCAGCCCTCGCTGATGGACGTTCTTAACCATCTTTGCATTGTTCGTGGTATCTTTGTCGGATCCAAGGTGCAGTTTGAGGAGATGAACCGTGCTATTGACTCGATCAAGATGAAGCCTGTGGTTGATTCCAAGATCTTTGCCTTTGAGCAGCTCAAGGAGGCCTATCAGTATCAGTGGGATAGGAAGCACTTTGGAAAGGTTGTCGTGCAGGTTGGAAACTGAGGGATTCTATGTATAATAAATTGGGGCAGAGGGAGTATAGTTACAAGCCGCGACTGGCACTGGCATTCCACTCTAGGTCAATCGCACTAAATTGGATATGAAGTATCACGTCAAGAGTTAACTGCTTGAGTCTTCTTACGAGAGCGACAAGTTAAAGGGTTTTACTTGGTGCAAGGCATAAATTCCCAAAAGAAAGGTATTTATTCACTATCTAAGTTTGGCCCCATGTTGAGTCAGGGCAGTGCTATCTTAAAATCGACAGAGGCAGAGGTTGAGCTCAAACCTGTCATCTCAACCAAGTCTTGCTCGGGAGTCCGTATCTCGTAATCGGATGTTTGTCTGACAAAGGAAATCTAGATTCTCCAGAGCCATCTTCGTGGCTCCCCAAAAAGTCATCATCGGAATAGCCTCTTCGTCTTCGTCGGCGGTAAACTCACCTTGTCCTGGTGGCGGTGCCTTGTAAACACTTGCGTTCAGGCCGTTGAGTATTTGGGCATCGTGGTTCCGGTTTTCGTTGTTTGTGCCATGGAGGCCAGGTGTTGGAGGATTATCGTCATCTGTTCAAAGTCAGCATGTTCATCCTCGCGTAGTCCAAGGTTTACTCCCTCTTGCCCGTCTTCTCGCCACATTCCTCATCCTCAGGACTGCCGGTCTCAGGGTCAGAGGAAGATGCGACTGGGGTATCGGAGGGAGAGTCCTTGCTCGACTCACCAATCATCTCGGCCGTGGTATTGGCGTCGTCTTGGCCATCCTGTTTCTTGTTAGCGAAATCTCGACCCTTCTTGGCGGGCTTGCGTACCTTGGGCTCGTTCTCGAGATCATCGGCAGTGGCGACTTGAGCAACCTCGGAGAAGTTGCGCGCGGTTCGGCGACGTTGACGTCGCTGCTCCCGGCGGCTGAGAGGTTCGGACTCTACGGCCACCTCGGGCGCGTTGTCGTAGAGTGGAAGACTAGAGTTCTCCCGAGTTGGACGAATCTCCTTCTGCCAGGACATGGTGGAGGTAGTTTGTCGTGTTGTTGGTGTGGATGAGGTGTTGAGTTGTGTTGAGAGGTTTCGTCGTGAGTGTTGTCGTGATCGTTGTCGTCAAAGGTGAGGAGAGAGAAAACAAAGAAAGATGAAAGGGGGCTCGTGCGTATTTATACTTGTGGACGTGAAGTATTTGTTCATATATCCTCGACTTGTTCCAGGATGAAGTGTAGTTGTTCAGTTGTCAATCGCACTGTGCCGACTATGTGCTCTATAATTCACATAGACCGATGCGAAGAGCAGCGGGCTAACGGTGAATAGTCGTGAACAGCGAGCGTGGAAGATTCCAGAAATTGATGGTTGCCTGGAATCGCCGTACTTATGAGGACAGAGAAAAACAGACAAGTGTTTGATGGTTGTTCGGGAAGTTGCCGGTTTGTTTGCTGGTGTCTGTCAGATGTGCGTGCACGTCACGGGATTGCCTGCAGGCAGCCGATGATTCCAGGGACAAGTCATCCTGTTAGACTCGAGGACACGGCTACTGAGCGAACTGTGAAAGGGTAACCATAATTTATGCTGCCGGGAGATGGCTCTCACGAGCATTGGTGGAGAGTTATGTCGCTGACAATCTTAGGGGGCTGATGCTTGGCACACTGAGCTCGAATGCCCGGATATATGGTGGGTACTACTTTTATGGTTCATCAGTATCTATTTTGCTTTCTTGTTAATCGTAAAGTTCAAGATAAAAATCAAGAAAAAAGATGGGCTATCCAATGCCCTTATCCTTCTACTTGGACTTTATCAGGCTTATTCTCTCTATTCATTGTTGGTAACTTGATTCTGGCCCTATCATAAGGTTCTATAAATTGCGGCCTATAAGAAACTATGTTGCGGACTTCCACCAAACTACCACGTTCGCATGTCAAATGTCTATTTCCTCGCTTGGCACAGACTTCCAAGACGAATTCAAGGACAGCCGAGCCGTTGCTATCTAATTATAGACCAAGATATCTAGGTAATCAGTAAACTGGTTATTGCAATCGGCCAGGCAGGACACAGATACCACAGCCTGCTGCGCCAAGATGCAATAACAAAACATGGCGTCGAGGGAAGGCCTCTTTAATCCAGTCTTCGGATTCCGAGCCTGATTCTTCTTTCTTTCTTTTCTTCCTCCCCACCCTCTCATCCTCTCTGTGCCACCCCCTCCTTGTTTCTTCTATCTTGCCTGTAATGGAACCCTGTATCCCTGAAGACGCTGTAGACCCTGACGTGGCAGGGATTGGTGTAAGTCAATGTCGACCTACCTTCTCGAGAGTAGGTAGGTTGAGAAATTGCACGCACTGACAGATTCCGAATATAGGTGTTGATTTCGTTTGCCATCTCATCACTCATCACTATTCTACTTATAGTGATTGCATATTTCAGACAAGCGCTTCGACCTGATCGATATAGCTCACTCGACAATGTCATCATTGGGCTTCCTCGACGTAAACCGATCAGCGAGAGGGTTCGAGCACAGCGCATCGCGGCTTTGGAGTCTTTCCTCAAAGCCCTTTCCGACCAGCATTTATTCACTTCCTTTGCCCTCACACTGACTATATATCTTCTTCGGTATGGTGCACCGGGGTTTGATGCCGAAAAGGTCTCTGCGTACTCGTACTGCCTGGCAGTCAACATCGCGCTGCTTTCCTCCACTGTTCACTTGTCCGCCACAACCATCTTACGAGATAATCTTGACAAGTTTAAGTGGCTTCGACTTGTACGGGTCATCATAATGGTTGTGACAATCGGTTGTTTGCTGCCCCAATTGGTCCTAACCCAGGTCATGGAGCCAAGTATTACACTACGATGTGCTGTCGGACCGGCAGAGGAATTCCTGAACTCTACACCGGACGACTATGAATTTGGCTTAACGGTAACTTTGGCTACATCTGCGATCATTTCCGCTCTTGTGTGCGGCTATGGACGCAGAATACTGGAGCTCTACTCGACGAGCTTTCGGCAGTCACCCGAAAGATGGGCCTCCAGCGTCTTTAACACCATTCGCCAGTGGTTCAAGGCCGACATCCAAGAACACCTCGACCAAGAAACAGTTTCCTACAATGAGAGGGAGCTGGTGGATGTCCATACATCTTCAGGAATGATGCTTCATGCGCAACTCCTGCGCATTGTGTGCACCGAGTTCCGCCAGTCATTTTTTACTGAACTCATTTGGCTTCTTTTCTATACCGTATATTCGATATTCCAGATGGTGTTCTTTATTATTTGGAGCTTTGAACCTGGCCAATCACCCATTAGCCTTAAATGGGGATTTGGGCAGGTTCTGCCCCTGGTTCTCCTCGGGCTCCCTGTTATTTCTGCCATTGAGTTTTACGATGGTGAGTGACTCAGCGAGTTTAGTCTGGAATGATCCTCTACTAATAAGAAAATAGAATGGGCAAGTAATAGTCCCGAAAACGAACGATCCATTGAGCTCCAGGAAATGGGGGCTGGGTCCCAGACCAACAGCCAAGTTGATGATTTGAGTCCATATGACTTGTGCTTGAACCATCACAGAGAAACTACACTCTTCTATACCTGGTTCCTTGTTAGTGTTTATTCGGCATTGGTGATCGCTGGAGCATTTGAATTCTCCTGGGCCACCTGGGGCACCTTCACTACATCAGACGGAGAAAGTATCACAGGTACGTTTTATCTAACTATTTTCTTCGTCTCTGTGCTTGTGATAAGCCTGGGGTTCTCTTTATTGGCTGGTTCTGGTTGGATAGGTGGGCGAAAACGGTTTGCGCGGCTGGGTGCACGATGATGAGCAATTGGTGGATGGGTCTGTCATTGAAGATCATGTCAAACGAGCCAAGGGCATAAGTGGTGGAATGCCCTTTTATATAACCTCGCATTTTTATGTGTCGGATATAGAGGGAGGCGGGAGAGGAGAGACGTCAAGACGTTCAATGGCTTTGATGAGAAAGGAAACTGCCGGGAAACTGGCCCGCTTGTCAGCATCCACCGTTTGGATCAAGCAGTTACCAGATCAGGATTGCATTGCGGAGGATCGACGCTCAAGGATGAGTCACCAAGAGACGTCGTCTAGCAATGATGGGATGGGGCTGAGGTCAGGTCATAACTTAACATGAAACCAACCCTGCAATTTTGTCTGCGGCTGAATGGGAAACCTCGACTTTGGCAACTACCTTGTAAATCTGGACTTCCAGGCAAACCCCAGTAAGGCTAGACGAGAGAAGCTTCTACACGAGGGGGCGCGATTTGAGCATTGTGTTTTTACCACTCATTTGAGAGGAAATTGTGTGCAGGTGCCAATGTCTTGAAACAGCCCCAATCTAAAAATCTTGCGACGGATTCCTTAGTTGCAGAATCTGGTCCGTGGGTGGCTATACGAACCGACTTGATGGACCGGGGTCGACCAACACCACGCCAAAAAGCCTGAAGGATCGGGTCTAATCTCCAGATGTTTCAAGCTGCCTAAAGCATTTAAGCTGTTTCTTCCCACCTCTAAAATTTCTTCACAGTTTCTTCATCTCTACCAATAATTCATATTCTTTTCACCATGGTGTACAGTTCTCTTGTTCATGCTGCCGCTCATCTCGCGCGACGAGGAGCCACCTATCCAGACGAAGAGCCATGGACCGATGAACAATGCGTGGGCCATCCAATCACACACGATGTTCACTATCCTAGTCAGGGAGATACTGTCTATACGGGTGAACAGATTACTCTCTCATGGCAGAGTGATTTCAACGTGACTGGGAAGCTCACCCAGAAGTGGAGCGCCGAGATTAGAGACTTTACCAACATGAGCTTCCCTGAGGCTTGGAGATACCAAATCTTCTGTAAGTCAACAATACTGGCATATCCATTGTATTGTATCTCTGACCAAGATTTAGCCAATGTGACATTCAATTATCCATCGGACGACTGGACGCTGTGGAACGAACAATGCCAAGAGTACTGGACCTTGATTGAACGCAACTGGACAATCCCCAAGGATCTCGACCTGAAGAGTGGCAAGTTTGCCGTGATTTTCAGAAACGAGACGGATCCGTCAAACAGGACCTCTGTCCTCAGTGACTTGTTCTTTATCGAAAACAACCAAACCTCGACAACGACAGCGCCTACGCAAACTGTGACTGTCACCATCGCGACACCGGCAGCGACGAATGGAGGTTCAGAGACTACTGAAAGTACACCGGTGCCTACTAACGATGGGGGTCTCTCCTCGGGGGTGAAGACTGGCATCAGCGTTGGTATTGCGGCGCTGACGACTTTGTTGCTGCTTGGTCTTTAGATGTTCTGCTTGAACAAGAGCCTACTACGTTGAACCTGATATTGGAGGGATGGAGTCTTTGAGGCTGTCCTGGTTGGCAGAACCCTTGATGGTTAATGGGTAATTTCTTCTGGAGCTTTTCTTTGTGCAAAAATCAGTTTAGATCTACATAGCAAGTCCGAAGTGGGCTTGAGACTTCACAATTTCATATGTTCAATACAATTCTACTGTACCCTGGAATTTTCATCTTTCATAGCTACAAGTCCAGTCTTCAGTCTTACTCATGTTGGTATGTTGTGCTGGTTTGCCTTGAATAAAGACTGGCACGCAATCCTCCTTGTTCCAGGACTACTCAAGTCTAAACAAGGAGAACGCGGCATGCTCACAACTCAAACGCTTGCAACCCAGACATGGCAAAACATTGAACAAAGGAGACCAGTTGCCTTGAGGCTGCATAAGAATGGGACATCATTCTAAATGATTCATCACCCATAGCAAACAATAAACTCAAGTCACCATGTCTCAAGCTACTTCAGCACGAAGTGACGAAAAGACTCTGGTCCCAGTGGCGGGCGGACCCCTTGATGGCTGGACTATCACCAATCCCCATGGCTACATTATTGCTGGCTGGTCTTGCTCCCGGGCACTCAAGAACTTTGAGATAAGATATAGGATGCCCGATAATAAGAATCGACGGACCGAGGCTGATGATTCCAACCACCGTTGCCGAACCATCAATCCAATCTCGGCCGACAATTGCCAGCGCTGCGGCGCTCGATTCGACGTAGGCGTAGAGGCCCTAGATAAGGATGGGAAGGTAATTGCAACGATTAAGATGATCACAGAGAGAGCCGACTACTTCTGGCGGTACTCGAAGGATTACCCAGGCTACAATCCTAATCTCAGATGGAACCACCATGCGACTGATTGGTGGCGAGAGCAGAAGATGATGCGGAGAAGATAGCGTTCAATACAGCTACTTCTGTCTTTGATTAGGGAGTACCTGGTCAGTAGCGCAGACAATTACTGCAGATGAGTACGCACAATTAGACCGAGTTTGCCCTTTGAAATGATATGTTGGCAACTGAATATTAGATCAGGAGAGATTACGCTCGAATGAAGCTGCTATGCTTGACATGTCGATTTGGTGGATTCACGACTTGTTATTTGATCCAAACATTGTTCTAGAACCCCCCTGTGAAGCGTTCATGCTTGTTCAAAGTATGAGTCAATAAAGAGGAACATGATGGCCTTGACGGGAGACTTGTTGCCACATCGATTAGGCGTCAATAGAGCTGACAAAATGGTCTTTGTGATTTGGCCAATAGAGATGGAATTTCCAATGCGAGGAATGCATGAAACAAGGCATGTCGTGTCACAGGTGTGCGTTGATTTCAGCCCTCCGAAAGTTACACTTGGACATCACCAAGTAAAAAGGCCCGTCAAGAATCATGGTTTTGTGTATCCTTTGGGCGATTATATGTAGCACCTGTTTGACTTGTTTTCTCGCTCTCTTTCCCTTGCTGCCCAGTTATCCGCCCATCTCGCAACGACGCCACGATAGAAGAGCGGTCACAACCAAAACCCGCCTGAACCATTGTTCGACAGCGAAAAACAATGGTAGAAGTCACAAAATTCATACAGTCGGATCATAGCCAGTGGCGCTGCAAGAGATGCAAGCGCCGAAACCGCATGTCGGCCGGTCACTGCAGGCACTGCAAGAGGAGTCGCAGACTTGGAACCAAGGCCCTCAACGACGCTGGGGTCGTTATTGGGAAACTGAGGATTGTTAATACTGTCGGTGATGAGTTCTGGGAGTATTTCGACATTATCACGGTCGTCGTTGAGGAGTGATAGGGTGTTGGTGATGGCTTCGTCAGTGATGATGAGATGTCACGCTATGGCACCGGATCAGATATATGAGACTGGAGAGATAGTGATATTGTGCGCATTATATGAAGTCAAAGTGAATAGAATCCAAGGATCCTCTGCTCCTTCAGATTCCCAGTGTATAAAGCCGGTACGCCTTACCGAGATATGTCTGCTTCCTCTCCGTCGACAAGACAAACCTAACTAGCCAACATCAACAACTGCAACACCTACAAGAGAAACACTTTCTTTGCTATACAAAATGCCTACCGTAGTCACCAACATCGTCCGCGACGACCATACCAAGTGGCGCTGCAAGCACTGCCAGAAGATCAACGACATGGGCGTCACGCACTGCACCAGGTGTAACAGGAAGCGCGGCATTGGCGCGCATGCCATCAACCAAGAAGACAGCATGATTGGGGAGCTGCAGATTACCAACACTGCTGGTGACGAGTTTTGGGAGTATGGAGATTACATTGAAGTTATAGTTCAGCGTTAGTAGGTCAAGGATCGTGCTTAGATTCTTGGCTCGTGATACAAGGCGTTGGCCAGTGGTGAATACAAGGAAGACACTTGAATAAACGCAGTTCCTATGTGCATATGCTCTGTTGCACGTCTCGCTATCGGCATCCTCAGCACTTGCTCTATTCGTTTCATGTTCATCAACCAGGTACTTGAAATAAGCAATAGAACGTTGCCTAGCAATATTCATTTTAATTTCCCATTCACTTAAGCAAAACAATGACATCAACGTTATGAAATATGCCCTCCGCTGTCCGGACCGATCACTTTGATGGGTCGGCCGTAAACAGCAACCACGCTTCATCAACGTAGGCGATGGCCTGTTTGAAACCGTCATTGAGGATCAATCACCATGCTTCATCAACGGTCACGACTCAAGCGTAATCACCCCGGCGTCGACTCTACTGCCTTGCATCATATTGCAATGTCGATTGTCTGTGACCATGTGGAGAAATAGGCATAGACGAGAGACCCCAGTCGGCACTTGGAGAACCATGTAATCGATAACCTGGATCTATATGAGATGTCACATCGACGCGGTAGAACGACATCGGCCTAGCAGGGTTCACCAGAGTGACAGGCCAGGGTTCAAGCGAGTGTGTATATACTCGTAACAGCGTTGAACATATTGTATGGGTAGGATATCATTTACTATAGCATCGCTCGACAATGGACCAACCGACATGGAAAAGAGATGAAACGTATAAACCACTCACTGTCACGAACTTGGTCCGCGCCCGGAGCCATTCCGCCAAACGTGATGGACGTCTCGAGAGAACTGGGCCGTCAAGTCTCGGATTTTGCTGTTGATCTTGTCAGATGGATGCTGCCTTGACTCTCAACAGTCACATACCTGAGCTTGGAGAGATCCACATCCATCGACACCACCGTCGACAGATCCGACAGGTGGTTCTGGGCCCTAGCCTGCTCGTGGGCATCCAGCACGGCCTGGTGGATCTGCCTGCTCTCGACCAGAGCGTCGGTAAGCTGTGCCCAGGCTTGGGCAGCCTGGATCAGGTACTCTCCAATGTCGTTGACAAGGGTCTTTGCTTGCTCGGTGGAGGCGGGCTCCTTGGCCGCCATGGTACTGGAGGCGATGTCTAGGTGCTGGACCAGGACCAGTAGGCTCTCGGCAGACTGGGCGTCGTACTCGGGCTCGAAGGGGCTTCTGTGGGCGGGCATGGGAGATGGTTCTGTTTTGGTAAATTAGATGTGCTGATTGTAGAGGAATCTCACAACTCACTGGAAAAGGTGAAACGGGGTGAAAGAAGAAGAGTAGGTGGTATTTCAAGGGGTGGTGGTGGATGTGCTGATGCGTGTGTCGTGGGGGTCGGATATCAGCACTTGATATTCCGATATGCGGCGAAAGAAGAAACGTCGGGTATAATATAAGGAACAAGAAAAAAAAAACCAACTGATCGAAGGGGAATGAAACGTTTAATGACCCCGCGGGAGGCGATTACTTAGATACGACACTCTCTCTTCCCCCAGCCCAGTCAGTGGAGACAGGGGGGAAAGAGAGACGAAAAAGCTGAGAAGAGAAAAGAGACAACAAGGCCAAAGTCCAAAAGTTAGCGCCGCCTTTTTTCGGGAGCTCCGCTAAGAATAAACAAGGACCCCCTCCAAGAGCAGCGGTCACAGAAAAAAAAAACGAGCATTCACTCATGTGTGTTTGCCTCATTGATGGGCACGAGGCAGATCCAAAAGTGCAATTGCTCACCGACCAGACAGACAAGCAGGCAAGTACCGCGACATTACAGAGGGGGTGGCCTGTCTGAGGGCTTCTAGAACCGCTAGAATCACGGCACATGGTACGGTACGGGTGCTGCTGGGCTGAAACCCCCATGTCTTGAGAGTTGTCTCTTTTCTCTTTTCTCTCTGTCATTCTCGGCTGGGGACTCTCCGTGAAAATAATGGCGCCATTCAGCTCGCTCGGCCACGACCCGGCTGTGTGTGGCGGATCGACAAGAGAGTAAGAAGCGAGCGAAAAAGCCCGCCGGTTCATGACTATCCGGTCCATGTTCCCACTGCCGAGACGACAGACGTGGTTCCTCTGTCGATCTAGAAAGATGGACCCCTACATCGGCTTAGCTTGAGAGTCTAGTCTAGCTACAGTAACAGACAGTGCCGATATCTCCTCCCATCCCATCCCAGGTCAAGGTCTGGGAAATCCGGGGGGTGTGTGTGTCTGCTGACGTGCAGTTCCAACAGCAAAAAAAGGGCAGGGCCCCACGGCCACGGTAGAAGAGAGAGCTTGCGTGAAATGACATCAGTGGTACAAAAAAAGTGTCATATCGCTTCTTGTCACATTCCTGATCCCGAGAATCCGGGCTCCGGCCCCTCTTTCCCCGCGGATGGCTGACTCTATTTGGACCCTTTTTCACTCATGTCGAAGTTGAAGCTGAAGTGAGTCTTGTAGCCGCATCACTGAAAGGAATGCTTGGGCATCAACCGTTTCATTGGAGTTGAATGCCGCCATGTCAGCAGTACATACCCGCGCCTACCGTGAATAAACTCAGTCGACGGTCTGAGAGCCGAACGAGTCAGAACCTCTCTCAAGGTCACTTGTAAACAAGAAATCGCTTGGCGAAAGTGGGCTGGCGTGTGAGGTGGCTGGGGGTGACTGACTCTCAAGAGACAAAATTATCCCCTCAGCGAGAGAGAGATATCAACGCTAATCGCGGCGTGGGAAACACAACAAGGAGGCACCACAGGAGTTTCACTGTTCCCCTCTGTCGCCTCTTATCTCTTTTCTCGTCCCGGCGTTGCCCGAAACTCTGAGCAATCCTTTTTTTTAAGCAGGGGTGGCCTCCTCTTCCCCACAAGGAGCACCTACAAGAAAAAAAACACCGGGAATCGAACCGGAACTGTTACATAGCGGTGAACCAGAGAGACGACGAGGCGACAAGAGGGATCTTAGCGGGCCCCCCTCTCTCTCCCCTCACCCTCAACTCCACTCCCCTCATCTCATCTCAGGGATTCAGGGTCGAGCGTGGTAAATAAGTGAGAAGCCGTTGACGGCGCTAATGCACCCGGAACAATGGATCGGTAACCCACGCAGAATCCGCCGAATGGTTGCATCTCGGGTCCTCCACTTGATGGTCATGATGCCACTGAGAAATAAAGATGTTATCTAGGCTATCAACCTGATATCTGATAGTCGAAGCGTGGGAAACGACTGAGACGAATGTCTTGACTGTCTTGCCTAGATCTCGATCAAACTGAATCTTACTTACAGCCCATGACCCTGACCTGCTGAACAATCAGTCAAATATTGAAACCCACATAGTATGAGTCTACAGTGCTTGCTTTTCCATCGTCAATCCCTGCCTGCGCAACTGCAACCCAGGGCACCAATTATTTCTTGCATGTCTCTGAGAGCATGTGAGCCGCTAATTCCCACTGATCCACGTACTGAACACATGGGAGAAGATCACTGTCTAGAGGTGGCGCGGCAATTTTAGGGCGCGCGTCTCAGTGCCACGGGGTTGGAAAAAGCAACCAAGAAATGAGAGCTCTCCACACCGGTCTGGAGAAAGCGTAAGCTGCAACAAGACGGGCGGGAATAGGCGGCAAATGATTCTCTCCTCGCATGATTTTTGTTTTGCAGAGCGGTAGTTGTTACGTGGTTGCAGATCATGTCGATGAGTAGTGTTTTTTTGTCCCGCTGCGGGAAGACGTGTGAGATGCAGAGAGATGACGAGGTTGCAAGCCACCATATGCTGATTAAACACGGGATGGTGATGGAGGGTGGCTTCATGCAAGTCAAACAAGCCAATTAACAAAGCAAGGAACCCCTTCTCGCGGGGAGCTGGCTGGGCAGAGTTACAGTAGTACCCTTCTTTTGCCCCTTCTTTAGCTTGCAGGTCTACGATAATTGAGGCCGTTGCTATTCCCGCAGACGGTTGCACACACCCATAAACTGTAGGTGTTCTCCCACTTGTACTGAAATGGATATAATAGCCACGGATAAGCCAGTTGCCATCTTGAAACCGTCCGCGGTTTCATGCGGAGTCACTGCTGACATTCTTGTGGTGCTCTGGTTGTTCCCAGTTTTTGTAGACCCATCAAACCCACTAGGAAGAGGTCTGAGCGATATGCAGAGACCTATTGGCAATCGGGCAAGCGGAAGGAATAGTCAATGCAACGCTACTGAGGCCATGGATCCATCTTGTTGTCTGCTTTGATATAAAATTGTCACCTGTTGAACCTGTCTGCGAGTAGCTATGTACTCGTGGGCCCCCTTCAACAGCCCTGGCTTACGAGTAGGTCACCTGTTGGCATCGAAGCTTAGAGTGATAGATCGGTTATAAAATACACCCAAACACACCACTTGATAGATACCGAATCATCCAATGACGAATCAGAACTAGATCAGCAACTTCCCTCTCCTTAAGTGAGGTATCGGAATCCACTACCAACAACACCACGCCCAGCAGCCTCCTCCTCCCTCTCCTTCTCCTCAAGCCTCTTGTTCTCACGCTTGAGATAAAAGTGGAGAACCGTAGCAGCAATAATTGCAACAACTGCCATGGCACCATTAACGCTGAACGCCAAGACGAATCGAGGCCCGGCGTTGTTTGGGTAGAGATAGGAGCCGTAAATACTGCAGATGGTGGCCATGGCATTGTTGAAAGCCACAGCCGCAGCTCGCTTGGATACGGGACGGAAGATGGTGTTGGCAGTCCATACCATGGCCATATTAAACCCCGTATAGATACCCGGAAGCATAATCATGGCTCCAAAGTATCGAGGTCCGATACCAGAAGTAGCAGCCGAGATGATGAAACCCGCCAGCGCGCAAGAGATGGGAATGACCGTGTGCCAGTACCTCTCGCGAGTTCTATCCGCATTCCAAGATACAAGAGCGCAGACGATACAGGCAAATAGATATGGTGGAGCCGTGAGAAGCAGGGTCGTGTTGCGATCCTTGCCCATGCTCTTGACGACAGTGGGGAAGAAGCTGTTGATAGCGATGGCGCTGGCTGCTCCATAAACAACCACGACAAGAATCCAATTCTTGGGATCTTTGATAAGAAGCTTGAAGCCTTCAAAAAGAGGCTGCTTAGATCCTTCAGTCCAGTCTTCTTCTCCAGCAGCATCCTTCTCCATTCGCCACATGGCAAGAGCTCGTTCTTGCTCTGTAAGCCATTTTGTGTTCGCAGGGAAATCCGGGAGGACAAAGAATGCAAAGGCAGAGATGACGACAGTTGCAGAGCCTTCAATGATGAAAACCCAACGCCAGGCGAGAAGTCCGTGAGCGCCGTCAAGATTATCCATTATAGCAGCGGCGATCAGACCCGAGAAGGCTCCAGAGATCAAGGATCCACAGTAAAAGATGCCAGTCCGGACACCGAGCTCTCTTCGGACGTACCAAGCACTTAAAGTAGCTAGGGCACCGGGATAGAAGGCTGCTTCGACGAAGCCGAGGAGGAATCGAGTGACAAGGAGGCCGGCAAAGTTCTGAGCGGCTTCACTGCAAGCGCAGAGGATTCCCTATGATTGGTGTTAGTTGAAGTCTTCAAAGATGACTTTTGAGGAGTTTCTTACCCAGACAACCATGCATCCAGTCAAGTACATGGCAGGTTTTCCAATCTTGTTGAGAAGCATGTTGGAAGGGACCTGCATGAGGATATAACCAACAAAGAGAATAGAAACACAGGTCTACAGCCAGTCAGAAATGGTTTGCGCGAATACAAAAAAGACATACCTGGAATTCGTTTGGACCTAGGTTCAAGTCTTCTTCCAGTCCACCAAGTCGAGCTGCTCCAATCGCGTTTCTAAACCCTTGTTAGCGGAGAACGTCAACGTCTGGTTTGTGATGCATACCTATCAAGATAATTCATGATATAAATTAGAATCATGGTTGGGAGCAATCTCAAATCGACCTTTCGGAGGAGCTTCTTCTCGAGCCTCTTGAATTCCTCCTCAGAGAGGCTTCTGAGGATCTCTGGCATTTGGCTGTTTTCCTCGACAAACGACACCACCTTGCCGAGGCCATGATCCTCTGAGGAAGGTTCCTTCGTCTTTATGTCTGAGCCCATAGTTGAAGATTGCAGTATCAGATGAATTTGGATCAAGATCAAGTTGGCACGAAACTCTGTGCTTCAACACTTTCGATACTCAAGTTAAACTGATGAACCCCCCCTTATATACAACCTTCAACACCGCACCGACAATATACTCCAAGCTATCAGATAGCCAAGCCCTTGTCAAATAGAGACCAATCCAAGATAGCACACGACCAGGTTGAGTCAAGTGTTCACGATCACTTTCGCGGGGAACCCCAGATGACAGGCGGTGCAAGCCAGGATGAGATTGCGGGGAAACCATGATAACGAAGGAGTCAGTCATGATGATGGTGGTGTCTTCGGCCGCTAAAGATATCTAGCCGAAGTCTGTCGAAGCGAAGAAAAACACTATCATGAGTCGTGGATCACAACTTGGCTCTTACACTAAGGAAACTGAGGCTTCTCGCGAGGCTTGGCTGGAGACAACCGAAGGGTGGTGCATCCCTGCAACTTTTCTGGAACCGGCCGCTAATGCGCGTCAGGCCGAACGACAAGCCCTAGCGTGGAATCGGCCGCTAATGCAAGCTGAGCCGGTTGATCAGCAAGGAGTAGGGACACTAGAGCCCATCCGGGGGGTGGTGCCCGACTGATTTTCGAGGGCTTGGTTGCTTCGGCCGCTTGCGCTAGCTGAGCCGAAGAGGCCATTGAGATCCGCCTCTTCCGCGAATATGCCCACGTTTAGCCACGCGGTGTTTTACTTGTCTGGAAACCGGTGAAAGGGGTGGCGAGGTGATTGGGTGCTTGACGCGCTATCTCGTCATGTGTCCGAGCGGTTATCTTGCTTGGGGGAGCAATAATTTGTTTGCGGGGGAGGAAACACCATGACCGGTGAAGGAAGCGAGACGGGAAACAGAGAGAGAGAAGAGGAATTACTGCATCGGCTGGAGAGTTGTCACAGCCGATCACATTGCTTAAAGAGGTCTTGTTGACGAATATAAATAAACTACTAGAGTTCAATAGACTAGAGCCATCAAACAACACCATCTTCACCCATCACCATACCCTTCAAGTCTCAGTTCGCAACCATGAGCAAACCATCAGTTCTCATCATCGGCGGAGGCGTCTTTGGAACCTCGACCGCCTACCATCTTGCCGAGAGAGGCTTTGACCAGGTCACAGTGGTCGACCGCTTCGAGCCGCCGTCCAGAGATTCTGCCGCGACGGACCTGAACAAGGTCATCCGTGCCGACTACCCCAACCCTCTGTACGCCAAGCTCGGCCTCGAGACCCTTGGCGTCTGGAAGGACCCAAGATCCCTTTTCAAGGGTCTCTACAAGGAGACGGGATGGGTCATGGGCGGCCATGAAGCTACCAATGGATGGCTCGAGAACGCCAAAGACCTGGCGCGGAGGACTAACCGTCCTGGTGTCGAGTATTTGACTGCTGAGCAGATGAGACAGAAGTGGCCAGCTTTGAGTGGAGAATTTCCGGGATGGACTAACTTGTATAGTCCTCAAGCTGGATGGGTGAGTTTTTCTCTCATTGATCTACACAGCAATATTAACCGTCATTTGTCCAGGTCCCCTCCGGCCAAGCCCTCCTCCGAATGGCGCAAGCTGCCCAGGCAAAGGGCGCCAGATACATCACAGGTGACGCAGGCCACATCAAGAAGCTGCTGTACGACCGGGACGGGACATGCAGGGGTGCCGTGGCAGCCAATGGTCAGCTCCATCAAGCCGACATGGTTGTCGTGGCAGCTGGAGCAAGCCTGCCCGCCCTGGTCGATGGAGCAAATGAGGACGTGGTGGCACAGACTTCGGCAATCTGTGTCATTCAGCTTGAGCCTCACGAGGTTGAGAAGTACAAGGACATTCCCATCATTGATGATTTTGAGCAGGGTGAGTTTAGGTTGTTTGACTTTGCTGGGTTGACTACTGACGAGATAGGCATCATCTTTCCTCCTGATGAGAACGGGCTTATCAAGCTCTGCAGTGTGAGGCTTGTGACCAACTACAAGAACCATGATGTCCCTGGTGCATCTATCCTGCACTCTGTAGGCGACTATCCAGATGATGGATGCCCCAAGGAGCTGGAGGATGAGATCAGGCAGTTTGTGCGCGAGATGATTCCCGAGCTGGCCGATCGACCATTCGTCACGACCCGACTCTGCTGGTAAGAGTCTCATCACTCAATTCATCCTCAACTAATCATCCCCCAGGGACGGCATGGCCAAAGACCTCAACTTCCGCATCTGCCCCTACCCCTCAACCAAGAACCTCTACATCGCCACAGCAGGATCCAACCATGGGTTCAAGTTCCTCCCCGTCATCGGCAAGTACGTGGCCGACATGCTCGAGGGAAAACTGGCCAAGGAGTGGACGGACCTCTGGAGCTGGCGCTTCGGCAAGGTCCCCGCCAACTTCCAGGATCCTCACCCGTTCCCCCTCCGAGACCTTTCCGAGTTGACGGGCTGGAAAGGGAGGAACGCCCCTGGCGCGGGAAAGCTTCCCTGGACATGGAGCCGGAGTCGTTTGTAAGCGTTAGAGAGTCTAGATACACCCCCCCTAGTTGTGTAGAGTAGAAGGAAAATGCGAAGCAGGAAATGCAACCCGAGAAAACGCAGGGATCAGTCACATGACCTAGCTCGCGATAGATCCACAGAGAATGACCCAATAAGCACCAAATCCGCTCCAACGGATCTTCGAGCCCACGTTAACTCAGCGTTAGCGTTGTTGTCTCGCTCTAGAGGCTCTGTTTTCTCCCCGGGACACGACTCGTGGCAGTGTTGGGCTCTGCTCCACATTGCCTGCTTCCTTCTGTACCTCTGTACAGTACCTACTCCAAGTTTGGTCTCGATAAAATCCCGTAACAGAGCGTGAGAGTTACCAAAAAGAGGCCTTGTCCTACGTCACTAGCTCTGAGCCTATTCCAAACCAAACAAACCCCTGCTTTTTCTCGCCAAACGGCGTCTCCGCACGCCTCGAATCTCTTTACAATCTCGTGTCTCCCCTCTTAAGATTTGCGGTGAAGCTCAAGAGACCTTGTCTGGTGAGAAAAAACAAAAAACAAACAACACCCATGCTTTCCAACCGTTGACCGGGTATTTCGCAGCGCTTGGGTTGCAATAACATGGGGTCGCAATGGGCAAGTTCAAGGGCCGCAATGCTGTGGCCTGCACGGCATGCCACGCCCAAAAGCTAAAGTGCAGCGGCGGTATGTTTGCTACAATCTTCATGATAGCTCACTTTGACAGCTTGCTCAAACCTCCACAGAAACTCCCTGCAGCCGCTGCACCCTGCGTAACCGAGAATGCATCTACCCAAAGAAAGAAAAGTTCATCGCCGTACCAGAGAGCTACCTGCGCGAGATTGAAGGCGAGGCAAGTCTCAACCGTCAATCCAGCATCGCCGAGTTCTCCTCCTCTGCCGATACCCAGTCCAGCTTCTTCACCTCCGACCGACATGAGACGAGCGACTATTCACCTGTCAGCGACAACCGAGCTGCGAGGAGTCACCTCAGAGAAGACTGCAGCGCCGAGCGCTTCATCCAGAAGCTCAAGGACCTATCCTCGTCGTTGCATCCTTTTGTTCAGTCCGACATGTGCCAACCCATAGGGACTGGAAATGAGAGCGGTTACACCTATCTACGTCTGAAATCCGACTTTCACCGTGAGTGGGATGAAACCTCGAGTCTCTTTGTGTCTGGATATCTTGCTCATTACTGTGCATCCCAGAACCCGAGGTTTCAGTCAAACTACCACCCAAGCCCTATGCTTTACGCCTTCTCGACATTTTCGAAGACATCTTTTGCGATTATCACTGGTTTCTCCGCAGAGACTTTCGAGAGCGATTGTCTTTGACCTACTCTCACCCCATCAGCCAGTCTGGCGACAGGAACTGGTTCTGCCGGGTCTCTGTCGTTCTAGCTCTGGCTCAGACGTTTGTATACAGCGAAGTCTCCAATTCGTCCGAAGTGGAGCGGCCAGGGTCTGGTTCAGGATCTCAGGCAGACAGTTCTCGAACCTTGACGCTTCTACCACCTGGATCAGATCTATTCGAGCAAGCGGTGCTCCTATTCAAGATATCCTCCGAGGAACCAATTCTGGAGGACATTGAAGCTTTGAATCTGATGGTGAGTGACACGTTGCAGCTAATAGGGGCGCGAGAAGCTAGACTAAATCTCCGGGAATAGGCGTTCTACTGCTACTCCCTAAACCGACGGAAAACCGCCTTTATCTACGCCAGTCAGAGTATCACCCTGGCGAAGCTGCTACATCTCGACAAGGCACAACCATACCAGTCCAAAGATGCAGCAAACCAGACCAGCAACCATCAGCGGGTTACGAGCGAACATATGAGAAGACTCTGGTGGACTTCATACTGCATGGACAGAATGGTGGCCACAGAACTTGGCTTAACTCCCACGCAGTGGACGATTCCACAAACCGTTTCCCTTCCTTCGTCTTCTGGTCTGATGTCTGAAGACCTAGATCAGTTCTTTGATCCTGCAATCCTGGCTGCTCAGATCCAACTCTGCGAGATCAAGCGCAGGGTGTGGGATACAGTGACCGGGTTGCTGCGAACCCCTGACTATCACTCCATCCTCAGTGCCATACAACCCTGCCTGGACCTCTTGCAGAATTGGAAAGAGAGTTTGCCTGGCCATATGGCTCTTCGGTTTGATACTTGCCAGACCATGTTCAACCTGCCATGTGCCAGAGGCCTTGCGTCTCTGTATCTACGGTATCACCAGGTACGTTTGCTCGTCAACGTCCGTCACTTGTAAGTGCAAACACTCACTGGCGCTAGTGCTTTACTGTCCTTCTACGTCCATTCTTCCTTCAGGAGCTATCCGGTATCATGCAGGAGCGCTTGGGCAAGCCAACACAGAGCATGACAACTGCCAGCGACCAGATACAAGCCATCAAGATACAGTGTCTCGAAGCCGCCAGGAACAACTGCATCATTCTTCTTGATCTTTCGACAAACAGCAAGATTGGTCAGAATTCCTTTCTATCCTCTCAGCTCAAGCTAACTCAGTGAACAGCCAAGTACGGTTATTGGGATTCTATTCATACGTTTTCGGCCCTGGCCATCCTCTCGCTCTCCAACATCCCATCGATCGATCCTCGGGGACCAAAGTCCGAAGCCGATGCACGACTATACACCGACTCTCGAGCTATACTAGAAGATATGGCACGAAGTGGAAACCCCTCTGCCAAGGACCACGAGTCCCTCCTGACAGACGTCGAAGCCATGGTCAAGGAGGTGTCATCTCAGGCAGACCAGCCAATGATGGATCCCGATGCCACCATCACAGATCCATGGGAGCTGCAGCCGAGTTTCGGGGATGTCGGGTTCTATGAGCTGATATCCGATCAGCTGTGGTGGGACATTGACTGGAGCAACCTCTCCAGCACGTACGCTGAAGGTCTGGGTCCAAGTTTTCCTGGCTAAAGGCATCTCGGCGGGCAATGGTATAATTCTTTGTACATAGTCTATACGTTTACGAGTAGTATCATGATCATGAGGTAGGATATTTTTTTATTGGCAGCATAGCAGTAGTCAAGGTAGTCGCAAGCAACATGAGCGTATCCAGATTTTCAAGGCTTTGGTCTGAGTTCTGTGTCACATTCTGCTCGTGACGTATTCTCGTTGCAAGTGACTTTCTTGTACGCCATCTCCACTTACTACAAGCAATATTTCTCTATGGCTTAGGGTAAGTCGCCGGCTTCTGTTGGTAGACTCGCGACACCTTCATCTCCGCCTCGGCAGGACAACACCGCCTCCTAGAAAGGCATAGATCTCAATAAAGCATCACGTCGACAGACTATGTGCTCAACACTTTTTTCTATATGTATGTCCATCTCAAAAACGCGCAACGAGTCTCACTCCAAGTTCCCTGGCGCCCAATATCCGACGTTCCGGACATGTAAATAGCGATTGATATGAGTCTTACTGTGCTATATCAAGCCATCGGTAACCAATAATTGCCTCATTATCCCCCCTTTTCTCGCGAGCACCTTGTCCTCTTCCGTCTCACCAAATTCCCTCGGGTTCTCTCCCGACGACCAGGCCTCTGTTTCCGATCCGAGCTCAGACGACATGTCTCAGATATCGCTTGTCCAGCCCGCAAAAGCAAAAAAGGGAACTTGCTCGGTTATTAACGGGTGCACATATTCCGTACATAAATACATATCGCGGGTCCACCTTGACTTGCATTGGTCTCAACGGTGAATCTGCACGAGAACAGACCGTGGAGACTCGGTGAGCTAGACTCGATGCACATGCACAGGGCATGAAGCGAATCGGAATTTCTCCTCACTTTGACTGGTGAGATCCTTGCTAGTGAGAATGAAATGAAGTTCCTGCTGACCGGATGTGATATACCAGCCATAATGAGGATCTGGACAGGGCGATATTCCGGTCACTTGCCAAGCCCAGTGCATATAACCGACATGGTCTTGGGCCAAGTATCACTTCCAGCTCTCAATGGTCGCGTCACGTCCAGCATGGTTGTCTCAGAAGTTTATTCTTCTGGCCTTATCTACATCATTCATACAAGTTTTCCAGCCACCGCCATAACCCGGGCGGAACAAAACCACTTCCTATGGAGCAACTGTCCATTTCCACTGCCCAAACCCTGTTCATCATATTACCGAGCGGCACGCGGTGCTCATGCAGTCAGGTCCAACGACAAGCTCCGCGGTCCTCGATATCGTGGTCGTAGGGTCGTCGTCGTGGGGTTGCATCGCGTAAACAGGGAAGATGCCGATAGGGAGAGTGTCTATCTGACCTGGTTAGATCTGCCTCATAGTGGAATTGATGGCATTCAGAACGCTTACCTTCAAAATTTTGCACCGTTGCAAGTTGCTCATGTTCTCGAGTCGAGCTCAACACCACACTTCGCAGTCCTTGACATCATAGTCATAGACTTGAAGGAGGTATCGTCGAAAAGTTGTATCCCGGGGTAGGGAAGACGCCGAGAGTGTCTGTTTGGTTAGATTAGATCTCTCACTTAATGGAAGGGAGAACATCTTCAAACACTTACCTTTAATCAGTTTCATTCTCCAGGTAGTAGGCCATGCGAGCCTCCCGGATCTTGCAAATCTCCTCGTTGACAATGTTGTCAGCCTCATCCGGCTGTCCGAAGATGAGCAAGGCCACATCCAACTTCTTCAGCCAGGTGTCCTGCTGCAAGGCGTGGTTGGCAATTATGACGTTGCGCTCCGACCGGAAGCAGTTCGCCAGAGTGTAGATACTGGAGCTGAAGAAGCGAACAATGACGGCAGCCACCTTTTCGTGCTCGGCGATGGCCATGTACAGAATGTTGTTGACGAACTGGCTCGTGATGGGGAGAGCATTGTTCTCAGCTGCCTTCTTCAAGACGGGGTCGCAGATGAGAGGACGCTCAGAGGTGTCGATTTCACCATTGCGAAGAGCACCGAAGGCAAGGTAGTCAAGTGCCTTCATGAAGTTTCGACGCATGTCGCTGAGCTGCGAAGCGGCAGGGGGAAGCAAGCAGCACTCGCAACGACACTCAAAGAACAACTGGTCATGTCGCTCAAGTCTGGTCTTGCTGACGAGTTCGATTTGATAACAGAAGGTAATCTCCTCGCCAACCTCAATTTCCGCAATGGCGGTTCTCACCAGCCAACGATCGTGCTTGTTGTCAGTGTGCGGAACGGACGAGTTGGGCTGACACGAGTGGTTGAAGCGCGACTGGACGAGATAGAATCCAACGCCTCTGTTGTCAACGTTGAAAGAGTTCTGAATAAACCAGGGGATAAACCTTCTGAAGAAGCGGCCGCCGTTGTCACGGGCCATTGTAACCATCTTCTGTTTGTCAAGCGGTAGATTGAAGAATTTCATGGCGAGGGCTTCTTCATTGAGGTCCTGGAACCTGTCGATCACGAACAAGGGCAGTTCACGCATGATCAATCCTCCCTTGTTGAGGCGCCTCGTGGCAAAGGCTCCCCATCCCTTGCCGTCCGTAGCCTCCTTCAGCACGAAGGGAGCGTCTTTGGGCAGAGGGATGCGAGGGTACGCTAGAAGGGTATCAGAATCAAATACGGCGAAGTAGAAGAGATACTCACGGTGTCCGTCGGTCGACATGACTGTTTCTGTCTCAGTGGACGAGGTCGAGTGTTTTTGGAGGATGTGAGAAAAGTCAAGTCGGACGATGAAAACACAGAGAAGAGGGGAAGAAGGGGAATTGTTGACATGACGATGTTATTGATTTTCCCTGACAGTGCTGGCAGTGCCAGAGAACTGCCAGGAGCAGTTAGAGGCTGGCGAGCATGCTGTATCAGTCCAGTAAATGGCCTCCCTCCCTGGGATTTTAGGAACGGCAAATCAAATTTTGGAAATTGTTTGATTTTAAATCGAGCATTAGGTATCACAAAGATTACATATTCTGATAAATTCAATCTTGTCTCATTGATGCTGATTGTGATGTGGTTGAGTGTCCAAAGTAGCTATCCTGTCGGGCGTCACTCCACTAAGCCAGCCCCTACTCCAGCCGCACCGACGTCTCTTCCGCCATGCTCTCAATTTTCTTGATATCCTTGACCTTGCTCCGTATCAATCCCTCTCCGCTCTCATACCAGCAGGCCAAAACTGCAAGTGCTGATGACTTCCAAAGGGGCACCTTGCGACTCTTCCGATTACTCGCTATCGTGAGGAGGGCAAACAGCAGTGCCCCAAGCTCGATGGCTGCAGGTCCGATAAACCACAGCCATCGGATCGTTACGTAAGTTACAACTTCTACCCTCTGTCCCGTCGCTGTCTGACTGTTGGGCCCTGAGCGCAGATAGTCCGTCATGCTGGTGGCCATCTTGTCCATCAGCCTAGTCACATTCGCCGTGCCACCGAGTGCCGGGCTCACGGCAATGTTTTCGTTTCCACGACTGCCTTCTACCCATTCCGTCACGATCGTGCTCGACTCCAAAAAGTTTTGCAGTGCCCTGAGGTCGGGCTTGGATATTTCGAGTCTCGGGATACCGTCTGCCTTGGACTCGTTGATCGCATACACCGAAGAGTTGTCAAGCTTCCAGGGATTCTTGCCAAGATCGATCTCTTCCGTCTTGTCAAAGTTGAAAGTGGTACCGTTGGATTTCGCCCCGGAGTATTCATACGCGGCCAGGGATAGAGAACACTCGGTGACGTTGGCGTTGAAGGTGGCAAAGTTGTGGTCAGAGGTGGTTCTATAAACGACAAGTCTGGCAAACTCGGAATTGTTGCCAGGCCCCGTGTCGAACTCGTCCTTGACTACAGCCGTCGCGTTCAAGTAGAAGGTGGTTGCATAGTCGGTGTGGAAGTTGTGAGTCGTGATACCCAACCCTCCGGGAGTCGTCATGCTGCAGTTAAACTGGCTCTGCCGGGACCCATTACAGTTCTCCGTCTCTAGTGTCTCTTGCGTGACGTTCTTGCATTGGCTCTTGAAGCCGAGAGAAACGACCGATTGATTCCAGGCGCAGGATCCGGAGCAGCTAAAGCGGGCAAACGTCGAGATGTCGTAGAGTCCCTGAAGGATGGCAGCCTGCATTTTGGGGTCCTGCGGTATGGCTTCTATTGACACTGGGTTAGAGGTGTTTCTTCGTGTAGGTGTCACCGGTGATACGTACCATCGCCAGCATTCGCCAACTCCTTGGCCAGATCACGGTAGTATGCGTGCGTATATCCAAACGTCGCGTTGTTGTCTGGCGTCTCAATCGGCCGATCTCCAATCTCCACAACTTGCTGTGTCAAGGCGGCCAGGCTCAGTCTGAGGACGGTGATCAAGGCACCGAGGGTAGCCAAGTTCCACCCAACCGTGAAGAGGAACTTGGTCGAGCCCGATACTCCTCGACTAGCCTCGTCGAAGCTCTGAAAGTTGGACAATGTCCTCGGCCTCTTCTTGAAGTACAGCCACTTCAGCTGGCTGATGAACCGGCTGACACTGTGCATCATGGATGCACCTAGGGCAGTCGTGAGGATAGAAATGGTGGCGTTTAGGGAGATGTAAAAGCCCCAGTGCGAGAGTGGTTGATCATCCATGTATCTGAAGATGGCTGCAATCCCACTAAGACAAAGCAAGCTGAAGAGGGCCGTCGCCATCTCGGGGCCCCATTCATGCTTGGAAAGGATAAAGTATCGCTTATACTCGGCGGGGTTCGAACCGGGGAGTTCCATCTCGCGGACATGTGGCCGGTCCGACATGAGCGGCTTATACTGGCCTCCTGACATGGTAGCGGTGGTTCGGGGGATGGATTCGGTTTCGACTGAAGACGAGCAAGAGTGAGGATGGAATGGGGGCGAAAGAAGGAGTTGAATTAGACAGCCCTACGAGTCTATATGTCTCCCCTCGGACTCCCTGCCTGCCAGAGCTGAACATGCACCCAAGATCCTTTTTCAGCCACTGTTTAAAAATACGCCTAATTTGACGCAGGACACGACAGCCCGCGTTTGAAAAGCCTTAGCGGCTACAGGCTCGGACTTTGAAGTTTGGCAGCCCTATCCCATCAAGCACCAATCGCGACACGCAGAAAAAGACTTTTGGTTCCTTGGCAAGGCACAACGGGTAATGAGATTGCCCTTTAATAAGCGCCCGCGTCTAAATTGTGTAGAAAGGTGTGTTAACGTGACAAGGGGACGAAATATCTTATTGGTGTTGGAAGCCTTGTTTGTTTGCCCTGGTCTTTTGTCTTATTCGTCGCCTCGGATTCTGCTTACTTGGCTCTGCGACCAAGTCCGAAAGGGGATCCGAGCAAACCAACCCAAGGGTGAGGCTCAACAGGCGCACACGACCATATCAACACGACCTAAACTCTAATTTGTTTGACAGGGTAGTATCGGGGAAATTCATTTGAGCAACGTGGAGCCAGTCGGACTGGCCTGTCATGGATTTCAAAGGCAGTTGCTGTCGAGGGAACCAAGGCCCTTTAGCGAACGAACAACAGAGAGATCCTCGTGCCTAAGGCACAAACAACTTTGAACCGAGGTACGATTTTCCGTCTAGAGAAAATCAGCAAATGGCGTAGCTCTCTTGTAGTCTTGCAGGGCGTAATCATTCTCCTGCCGCGCTACAAATCCACACATTTCTGTCGACCAAATCCGCAATGTCTGTTCAAATTAGTGCAACTTGAAAAGTGCTGAATTATGCAATAGATTCTATTGAAAGTAGATAAGTATCTTGGCCTATGAGAGACATACAGAGTGACTAGGAAGAAAGCTCAAGCAACCAACGAGGGCGTGGAACGATTCTGGTCCGGCAACATCCCACGAGAAGGGTGGGGGCGGGGATGCGCCAAAGAAACGATGAGCTCGACCAATTCGTGCAGTTATATTTGTGGCTTAGTTCCCCGTTGTCTCATGTGTAACTGGAGTAGTGGGCACAGCAAGGGCGAAGTCTGAAGTAATCAATTGTGTGGCCAAAAGGGTCGTCCGAGGTCACTCTCGAGGCACTCTCTATTTGCACGGTCTGGCTACATTCACAATGCGTCGCTGGAAGCGAGCCTGCTCCAAGGCAATGCTTCGGGTCCTCTGAAACGATTCATTCACGAGACCTGTGCGTTGGTTCAAGAGGCAGCATGGCTAGCTGAAGAGACGGCAGCATCCGACTTATTCATGACCCCTGCCTTGCGGGCACCAGTCGCATCATGGTGGCACTTATCAATCAGCTAACCAATGATCTAATCAATCACTGAGCATGTCTCATTATCCTGGATGCTTGAACATGTGGCGGCTGGCTTGACCCATATGAGCCGACGGGGCGATGTGTTCGAGCCCGCTAGTGACGCGAACCAGAGTATCCCGTGCAAACGTGGTGAAAACAGGCCCTCAGGACCCCCCAGCACTTTCACCAAAAGGCCATATACATACTCTCACATCGTTGGTGTTGGTCGCCAAGACCTTGATGTTGTAGAGAATCTTGGAAGATCGGAACTCGGGTGACCCCTGGTTGTGACCCGCCTCCCGTGGCGAGCCGGTGCGAAGTGGACGGGCCAACTCCGATCCCGTAGCCGCATCGAATTGAAGTGGGAGGTCGGCGGGCTGGTATTTCTTGTACATAATACACCCCCACGAACAGGACTGGGAGGAAATGCGTAGCTCGAGGCAAGTATAAATACTAAGGGCAGGTACTGGTTCAGCAGCAAGATCGCAGGCTTGTCTCCTTCTGTCAACTCCCTCATCATGCTGTCCCTGACTGTGAGTGAACTCATCATGACTATAGCTACCATGGCTAACAATCCAAAGAAACTCGTCCTCGTGACCGTGGCCATCTCATCCGTGGCCTCAGCCGTGCCTACCACGGATAACCCTGCAATCAACAACCTCCAGATCCGCGGCGATTGCTACGGCTATGCCAACTCTACCGAGTGCTTCACATTCAGATACAAGGAAATCTGCAGCAAGGTGATCAACATGCACAAGCTGGGTTGTAGGGTGCAGCGCACCATGGAATGTAACGAGGCATGTGCGGAGGATGAATAAGGGAGTGAAGCTCGGATACAAAACTTGTTTTCATCGAATTAATTCCCCCGTCCGACTCAAATAAAGCCTGATGCACTTGTATATGGGGAAAGAGTTGTCGATAGCATCGCGTCAGTTGCCATGGAAGTCTGTCATGGTGGAGGGGAGCACGTGTGGAGCCTGAGATCTTTTGGTCTGAGCGCAGGTGCCTGGTCCTGTCAACCTTGCCAAGGATTCTCTGAGTGATTTTGACATCTTCAAACTCTGAACCAAGCCGACTGGGCATCGCCTTTTTATTCGTCTTTTTCCGTCCACGCTGTGGCCATTTAACTCACCGTAATTTTAACAGTTCTACTTCCTGAGTACAAGGCAATATCTCAAGCAACCATGACCGAGAAAGATGATCCGCCGACGCAAAATGACGGGCAGTTCAACGCGAAGGGTGGAGACCTCGAGGATCCAGACACTGCATCGCTGAAATATGCCGTATCAGATGCTGAAGAAAAGGGGCTGATCAGCCCAGCTTCTCCTTCCACCCAGCAGAGGTGGCCTTGGACATCATCTCAAAGCTCCCCGGGGCAGTCTCAAGTCGAAGAGGTCCTAAGCCAGAAGGTAGTCAGCCTTTGTGAAAAAGGCTCAATTTCAGATTTAAAACTCGGCGTGTGGCAAGATATTTTTGAACAACTTCGTCGAGAGAGATCATCGGCTGCTGACCTGCTGTGCTTGATGAACTTCCTCAACCCTGAAGGCATCCCTAAGTTCATCCTCGAAGCCTACCAGCGCTACCGTGGAGGTAACAAGGTCAACCTTGACCGGGACATTGAGTTCCTGACTGAATGCTCGCTTATCGTCGCTGCGAAAGAAGATGGTGTGCTCAAGATACATCCTACGGTACATTCTTCTGCACGGATGTGGATCTCGTCAGTAACATCAGTCCCCCAGTGGAAGATCTGGCCAAGACAGCCACAAAAGGACGAAGAAGCCTGGAAGCGGACGCTTCTCCATGTCTTTTCATCAGAATATTCAGATCCGCATGACACTGGCAGTCAAGGAATCTGTCAATGGCTGGATTCTCATGTCGACTCCGCCATAGAGATCGAACCACGCGACAAGAGTTGCTTTCAGAAATGGGGCCGACTACTCCATGATTTGGCTCTTTATCGATGTAAGACCGGTAGAAATCAAGAAGCTGAGCAACTTCTCCAGCGGCTATTGGAAGCCAACAGAAGGGTCCTTGGTCCAGAAGATCCAAGCACGCTTTCGGGTATGCAATGCCTTGGAACCGTCTTGTCAAGAGGAGGGAAATACAAAGAAGCGGAAGAGGTGCAAAGATGTTGTCTGGAAGTGCGTCAGAGGCTGTCTGGTCCGGAGCATCCAACCACGCTTTTCACCATGAACAGTCTTGCGCTGACCCTGGCAACGCAAGGCCGTTTTGAGGAAGCCGACGACCTTTGTCGGAAAGTTCTGGAGGCGAAAAGGGAAGTCTCGGGTCTTGATAACGTGTGGACGCTTGCAGGCTTGACAGGCGCTGTTGGAAAGCTGCCGGGGCATCGACGCGTGGAAGAGGTGGAAAGGCTGCAGTGGTTAGTTATGAAAAGGACTCGGAAGAGGGTTTGGAGTGTGAACTCCAGCATCCAGGACGACAGTCAAACATGAAGGTTTTGGAACATGAGGCATAAATAAGAGCCGGGAAAAGAGATGCATACTATGTGAGAAGGAAAAAAGCTGGCCAGCTGTGATCGCGAGACTTCAAAGGAGAGTGCTAAGATCACGTGCTTGGGTCACGTGTACCCCTTCACGCATCACGCTTTTCTTTCCATGATGACAGACACCATCAGCCCCCCCTCCCCATGATATGAGTTAGCTCTATGAAGTGAGATTCAGCGAGAGCTTAATTCGTCTCTATATGCATCCCTGACAAGGTTTGAGCTTTTAATGTGCACCAAACCTTAACCGTCGTCGCCACTTGTTGAGATTTCAAGGGTTTTTTTTATTTCAACAACACACCATAAATACCACATGCGAGCTTCTCCATTCACATGCTTACTTACAACTTTCTTCATCCTATACCTAACCTTGCATTTCTGTGCTGAACCACACCACTCTGACGCAATGTCTCCTCTCATCAAGACAAGATTTCTCATACTATCCGATACCCACGGGTTACAGTTTCAAGAAGACAGAAAACCTCATATATCAGCCGATGTAGTTATTCACTGTGGCGACATCACATGCGATTCCAAGCTACATGACTTCAAGCAAGCGATTGACCTACTCAAGGAAATCGACGCACCACTCAAGATTGTCATTGCTGGAAACCATGACTTTTCGCTTGATGATTTAGCCTTCAAGGAGAAGATTACTGAGGCAAGCAGACTGGCACAAGAGGATCTCGAAGAGAGCATCAAGATTGAGTACGGTGACTACGGAGACGCCAGACGGCTATTCGATGGACATGAGGACATTGTATTTCTGGAAGAGGGATCTCACCAGTTTCCACTCGACAATGGCGCCCTATTGAGGGTGTATGCAAGCCCATATACACCGACTACTGGCAACAGTAGCGACTGGGGCTTCCAGTATAGCGGAGCTCACGAGTTTGCCATCGAAAAGGGAACCGATATCGTTGTAACACACGGTCCACCTCACGGAATCATGGACATGACAACAGAAAGGCAGCGAATCGGATGCCCTCAACTGTTTGGTGCCGTTGCCAGAGCTCAACCTAAGCTTCACTGTTTTGGGCATGTACACGACAGCTGGGGTGCAAAGTTGGTGGCCTGGAGACCGACAATATCTGACCAGCCTTCACATTTCAGCGATATCGACAACGGGAAGTCTGTGGTGATTGAGAGCCTATCTCGGCTCAAGGGATCCAAGTTCGAGTCGGCAGAGGACAGAGAGGCTCGAGAAGACGCGGTGGAACGGTACAAGTCGCAATGGTACTGTCATACAAGTCACTGTGGCGGAGATAATAGGCCTCTGGGTCTAGGGGAGACCTTATTTGTCAACGCTGCAGTTATGGGTGATGGTGAGCTCAGTCAATACCCGTGGCTGGTCGATATTGAACTGGAGCCCTACCGAGGCAAGAACTGACTGTGGCGACGATTCGGATAATCGAGTGGCGCGATTTAAAAGACCAGAGCGAAGCTACTGAGAACACGGGTAAATCATTTTTTATTCATTGCGATCCATCCCTAGTGTATAGTACCCTCGTCCTTTACCCTGATTTATAGAACCCCCTTTATAAACCCGCCTGCTCATCAATGCATCTTGAGCCTCTCCCAGGCACTTGCCATCCATTGGCATTGTGCTGTTTAATCACCTATTTGTCGAATGAACCCTAAATGTATTCCCTGACGACCTTGTAGTCACACTCTCAGAAACCAGAATTGACTAGAATGAACCTATATAACTCACCAGAAAGTATCTCATTTTCTACCTATCTAGCGGACTTCCCGTCACCAAGCAAATTCTCGAGTGACTGTACTCCTCTGACTCGCTCAGTGACTGAGCAGCACGAGATTTCGGTTGTCTATGCTTGTAGGGGAAAGTTTTGGTTTCTTGTTTGGGCCTCGGAGGCCTTTTTCTGCGCCGAAAGCAACATGCCCTCAGTAGTCTTGCGCAGCGGAAAAGGGGTCGAAAGTCAGGCATTGTAGCCGCCTCAGAGTCACCGCGCTTGGATCTTTGGACTGTATTATCGTGTTTCCCAGCGTGAGCGATGTTAAACGTGGTGCCAAACAAAGAGATCTGGGACGAGATGATGGACATGTACCAGAGAAGCGATAAGGTAGAAATCTGCCGAGGGGGCAAGACTTTATGTAGCCAGGGAAGGCGTTGTCACATCAAGCAGTGGCTCGAATTCAAAGGCGTTACCACATGGTTTCAGAGACGATAGTCAGTCACGAGACTTGAAATCGTCGTAGTCAATGTTTTCAAACAGGTGTGAAAGGCGGACGAGAGACGTAACCCGTGGTTGCGTTGTCTGCTCAAACACGCGTCGCCGTTGTGAGGAAGAACAGGCTTATTCGTCCGCCTATTCACGATCTGGATGGGATTTTCTATTTACTGGCACGTTGCACCACTTCTTATGAGAATTATCAACTTCATGTGTCACCGCATTTCAATGGAGATGTGGAAGAATAGTTGTCCTGAAGCCTACATGGGCACCATTCGCCAGGAGGGTTCTACCTAATAGTACCGCTTCACGCGAAGCCTTTTCCTCGAGTTACGTTTTGTTTTTAAATCTGGTGTTGAATTTACGTGCTTGTTTCTACACTTTATTCTCTTTCTTCACATTTCCGTTTGCTGCTCTCCACATGCAGCCAAACCAACAACCCCGCAATCCAACAAACACTGAGCGATTATCACCAAACATCATCCACCTCAGCAATAATAAGACTTGCTAGGGCAACCTGCGGTCATCACAAAATGACGGGCCAAACTGTCCTTAACAAAGATGCGACCCTCGCGGCTCTCCCTCCCGTGGTAGCGACCAACCTCCGGAGCCAGACTCGACAAGAGCTTACCTCATCACCTAAAACGCCCATCCTCGTCATTCTCGATGACGATCCTACCGGCACGCAAACATGCCACGATATCAATATCCTAACTGTTTGGGACGTGGCAACGCTTGCGGAAGAGTTCAAACAGACTAATCAAGGCAGCGGCTTCTTCATCCTGACAAACTCGCGCGCTCTCCATCCCCAACAAGCCAAAGAGCTCATCACCGATATCTGTGGGAACCTGCACACCGCTTCGAAGGAGACAGGAACCTCTTTCGAAGTAGTCCTCAGGAGTGACTCCACACTCCGCGGCCACTTCCCATTAGAGGCTGAGGCGGCAGAGCATGTTCTCGGTGCCGCTGACGCCTGGATTCTCTGCCCGTTTTTCCTCCAAGGAGGTCGATACACCATAAACGACATTCACTACGTCCAAGAAGGAGACCACTTAGTCCCTGCCGCCCAAACACCTTTTGCCAAAGACGCTACGTTTGGTTATAAAAGCTCCAACCTAAGAGATTATGTGGTCGAAAAGACAAAGGGAGCGATACCGAAAGAGAGAGTCACATCTATCAGTCTGGATATAATTCGCACTGGTGGAGTTGATGCTGTGTTGGGTCAACTCCTCCAAGAGGCTAAAGGGCCAAGGCCTGTCATTGTGATCAATGCCGCTGCTGACGAGGACATTGACGTCGTTGTGGCTGCCTTGATCAAGGCCTCGGATTCGGGCAAACGCTTCCTTTTCCGAACGGGAGCCGCGTTCGTTTCTGCTCGACTAGGCATCCCGTCCATTCCCCCAATCTCTGCGAGTCAGTTGCATTTATCAGGAGATGTGGGCGGTCTTACCATCGCCGGATCCTATGTGCCCAAGACAACCGCACAGCTTGAATCGCTGAGGCAGCTGGCTGGCAAAGAGCTCACCAGTATTGTTCTTGACGTTCACAAACTCCTCCAATCACCCGAAGGGGCATCTAAGGAAGTTCAAGACGCTCTCGAAACAGCAGAGGCAGAAATCAAGAGAGGACAAGATGTCCTTGTCATGACCAGCCGAGAACTCGTTGTGGGAGATGATGAGGCCAAGAGTCTTGACATTGGTTCGACCGTTGCCCGAGCCCTAGTATCTTTTCTAGAAAAGCTCGATCAGAAGCCTCGGTATATCATTGCCAAGGGTGGAATTACGTCGTCAGACATGGCGACCAAGGGGCTGAGAATGAAGCGCGCTCTTATCGTTGGCCAAGCTGCGCCAGGTGTGCCGCTGTGGAGGTGTGACGAGGCCGAGTCAAAATGGCCTGGTCTTCCATTTGTTGTTTTTCCGGGTAATGTTGGCACTGATGAAACTTTGTACCGTGTAGTTGAGGGGTGGAGGGTCTAGCTGTCACAAGCATGCCATGACTCCCTTTGGCGTGTTCACGTACAGTCAGATCACTGGGGTCTACAGCACGGAAGTTAAAGCTGATGATGTTTATGCTAAATACCTAGCTATAGTTATCAAAGACCTATCATTCCTTCCCCGTAGCCTTAGGTAGTCCTTCTAACCTAATCATCACATCACCGACCCTAATCATAATCCCACAGTTCTTCGCCAGTGGCGGTGATCTCTGCAAGCTTCCCAATCTTGTCTCCGTCTCTGTTGAGAGCCTTGGCCTTGACAGCTCTCTTCTTCTTGCAATTCTTGCAATGGTCGGTCGACATGTCGTTGCCCTGCTCGCACTTGATGCCGGGCCATCCCTGGAGCGGAAGTGGACAAGCCCAGTGGCTGTGATCGGCTCTGATAGTTGAAGTCATTGTTTCTGACGTGGGTATATTTCCTTTTTTTCTGGGTAAGTTCTGTACTGCTACCATTTGTGAGCTGCGTTGACAATCGAATGACGACGAAAGAGAAGGTTATCATCGTCGCCGTTCTATATACATCTCTAGCGGGCAGTTCATGTCAAGAATCACTGCTCTCTACAGGTTCTCATGACTGGGGCTCACTGCTGTGGAGGTTATCGTATCACGACCTGCAGGCTACAAAGATTCACTTTAGACAACATCCCCTTTCCGTGAAAAGAGGACCGCCACGAGCAGAGAATAGAGCCATGGGCCAGTGACTGAATGCTAGTCTAAGGTCCAAGTCTCAAAGATATGACACAGGTCCAGCCCTAATTCCCCCTACGATTCGTACTTCAAGTTGAAGGGCACCGTCGTCACAACGTCCCAATCGTCTTTATCAGCCTTGTCGCCAAACACCCTCAGCGCGCTAACTCTCAGGGAATAAACTCCCTCATCTAGCACAGTACCGTTGGCGAGCAGTCCCTTGACATAGGCCCGCTGGTCCGAGCGAGGCAGGTAGAGAAGTGGCCAACCAGCCAGCGCCCCGATGGCATCCCCCTTGGCACCACCACGCAAGACATCAACGTGGAGCGCAGCAGTCCCGATAGTGGGCTTGATGTAGACATTTGGCGTGGTATCCTGATCACCACGGTCCGTGAGCGGTGGGTTAGCGGGATCTGGTCGTGGGATGGTGTAGGTCCTGTTGGCGGGGACTTCGTTGTTGTAGTTGGCAAGATAGACTTGGGAAGCTTGTAGAACAGGGATATCGCGCATGCTTCCAGCAACTCCAAGGTACGGCAGCACCAGGGATGAGTTAGATCCTGTCAGGGCAATGTGTCCGCTATACACGGGTAGCAGAGTCCCGTTGACATTCTCTGGAGGTGTACAGGTGACAGTCACGTCGACAGAGCCACCGGCAGGGACATTAATCTTGCTGCGTAAATCTGTCAGCTCAAGAACAAGAACCTCTCAACAGGTACGAACCTAGAACTGAAGTTGATATCAGCCCACTCCTCAACTATCGGATTCGGGAAGGAGGCAGCCATCAAAGGAGACAAGCCTGGCTGCAAAGTGTACATGGTCGGCGCTTTACGGTGAGAGAGCTGAAGGGCAACGTCGCTAGCTCCTGTGTTCTTCACACTAAAAGTCTTGTTTCCAACAAAGTGGTCGGTATCGTTGAACGAGATGCTCTCGATGCTAAGCTCGACGGTGGTGTGCGCTGCGTCAAAGGCTTGGGCGATACCTGCACCTTGCTGTGGTGCCGGGGCTGGCATATCTGGATCTGCTTTCTTTCCATCGAACCAGTCAAGGGGCTTTGCGGTTGACACGATGAGTCGCCTCAGGAGTTCTGGCTTTAAGCTCCCGCGAACCTCGCCGATCAAAGCGTAGATACCGGCGACGAGAGGTGCAGCTGGATGAGTTAGCAAAGTCAGACTCGAAATCACGACGCCTTGAGAACATACACATGCTGGTTCCTGTCATAACTCTGTAGCCTCCCATGGCCACTGGGAACGTGCTAAGGATATTCGCTCCAGGTGCGGCGATCTGGGGGTTCATGGCCAGTTCCCAAGTTGGGCCCCAGCTAGACAAATCCCCCATGTAGCCTCCGCTCACGTTGTTCTCGAGCTGCTCAAGGCGTACAGCAGTATTGTTTCCCCCAGGTAGAGAGACTGTGACAGTCTTGCCCTCTTTTAGAAGGGAGAGCCACTTCTGGGCGACGTAAGGGGGGACTGTTGCCACGCCCTGGATGCCTTCCGCGTAGTTATAGAGTTCATCACGCATTGTCCTTGGCTTGTCAATATCCTTTGAGAGTCGATGCGGGATTATGGACTTACAGGTTGTCCTTGGCGTAGTAGAGCAAGTATTGGCCCCCCTTAGCAGCCACATTGGTGCCTTGGTCCTGTGGATAGCATCCGGTCGCCCTAGCATCAAGATTCTCCAGCAGAACAATTCGCTTGCTCAAATCCGGAGTATCATCAGGCAATGCCGAACAAGCATTGTCGGCATCAGCAGCAGACCACAAAGAAAGGGTAACATTTTCAGGAAACTCAGGGAATCCAGGCAAGAATCCAAACTCTTGACTCGTCTTGTTGGATTCAACAATGTACGAGCCGGCGGTGAGCAGCGCTGGGAACTCTGTGTTAGTAACTGCGCCTACACCTGTCACTCCACGTCCCGTAGCCGGAGCTGACGCGTAGAAGAGACCAAGACCGCCGTCGTTGCCTGCAGAGATGACGACGGGCACTCCCGCATCTACGATGCGTGTGGCAAGAACACTCCAGACATCCGAGGGCCAGCCGCCAGCACTGACAAGCAATTATTAGCGCAACAGAACGGTCCAGTAGTGTCGAAATAACTCACTCGCCATCTGAGCAAGATATGATATCAGCCCCCTCCTCGAAAGCCCGGATGAAAGCTGACAGTAGAATCTCGTTGGTAGATGTGGCACGACATCCCCAAGCACGATACGCTGCTAGCTTGACTCCAGGTGCAGCTCCGGTGAAGCCGTACTTGTTGCCCTCGAGCTGTGCAGCAACAGTTCCCGCAACATGAGTTCCGTGTCCTTGACAGTCATCCATAGGATCCGCGTCAGGTTTGGCCTCGATAGTTCCAGGCAGGAAATCATCGCCAGTAAAGTCCCAGCCGGCTTCAACCAAGCAGCCAGGTCCAAAGCATCCTCCAAGGGCCGGGTGGGTATAGTCGATGCCGCTGTCAATGATTGCAACGCGAATGCCCTTTCCGGTAACTCCTTCTGCTCGTAATTTGTCGACTTGGGTCATGACATGGGGCGAAAAGGTGTCTTCAGCGGCATCCCGACGGCTGATTTGGCGTCGTTGCAGAGAATCGCCGGCAGTGTCATTCAAAGCTGGAGCCTCACTGGTTTCCGGCATATTCAGGCGGACAGAGCGAACAGGCCAGACAGCCTTTACCTGTGTCAGCGCTTCAAGTTGTTGCAGGATCTGCTTTCCATCACTGCCACTCGCGTTCAGGACTTGGAAAGACACGCCGTTGAAGAGGCGGGAACTGAATTCGGCACGAGGATTTGCACTGATTCCTTCCGACTCGAGGGCATCGTAAAAGGCCGACGCCGACTTAATCGTATCAGCAAACTCGACAATGAAGTCACCAGAGCCGATGGTTCCGGTTGTGTCTGCGGCCCGACGAAGTGCTGTCGACGAGGCGACTTGCGCGCCTAGAAGCGCCGATGCGATTTGGAAAAGACGCATTCTCACGGCAGTACCGATATTGACGTCGAATTCCAAGGCAATGGAGCCATTGAGTCTTCAGGTGTGCCATTGCCCAGTTATATAACCAATGTCGATCAGAAGCCCAACCCCTGACCAGACCCATACAACACGATGTTCAAATCCTAAATACGAGTTTCGCATTAAGGGTTATAGTGTGATAGTGCTCGCTGCAGGGGATAGTCCTTGGCATTCCCCATGATAGCTCGGGCTAACGACCAGATCTGGCGGCGGGATGGAACCCTGGACCACAGAAATCGAATCACTGCCGAGGTGATCTCAAGTGCGTGATTATCAAGGGTCAGAGTATGCAGCACTTAGGGTATATCCTACCGGTTGATTCAAGCTCGGTATGCCATGTTTTGAATTTCAAGAGCATGACTCAACGGAGATGGAAAGGACAACACCATCTCTAGCGTAGAGAATAGTTCATAGAATAAAACCAATATCCCAGGCGTAAAGTAGATTCTTTCCAACGCGGAAAAACGAAGCCAGCACGCAGGCCGCAGGTTCCGAGCAGTTTCTTGTGCTCTATATCCTCAGGGCAACACAATCCCAAAGTTCATCCAAACCAGGCCATGCCCGGCAATATCAAATCCATGACCAGCGGCAATAGCCACTACTCCAGACGCCTATCTTGCTAGACCTCTACACTCTAGAAGCTACCAGACTCATGTAGATGCCCCACAGCAGACCAATGAAACTCAAAAACACGATCCGTCGGTGGACGGGGATGAAACTGAAGCTGATGATGGAAGCAATCGGCCAGATTTTGTAGCCGGCAACAATGATGGGGATTGTTTCCTAGGAGGTATTAACAATGAGCGATAATGTAGAAAATGAACTAACCGTCTTGATGTTGCTCCAGATCTGAGATGAAGCCTGACCCTTGAGAACACCCATAATGATGAGGAAAGCCACCGTGTTCATGATGGCACCAGCAGAGATACAGTCAACAAACCACTTTGTTAGTGTGTTCCTCATGCTGAACTTGGGCTCCCGATCCCGATTGACCTCAGCCATGCGCTCCTCATAGCCCTCTTTGAGCTCGGGCGCATCCTCAGCGGGTGCCATTTCAACATCACCGATACGCTCCTGTGGGCGTCCAGATGGATACGCCGGAAATGTGCGCTCCAGGAACTGCTGCCAATGATAGTTGGGAGGGGCAGTGATCAATGTGAGTGTGACAAAGCGGAGGAGAGGAAGGAGATCCAGAGTTACAGGGCGCTATCGGAATGAGTTAACAAATGGGCTAGCTGATTGAGGTAGTAGTCACGGCAATTAATGGCGATTCAAATCAATTGCAGTGATTCACAATGAACTCAAACTCACGTTCTGCTGACGCGCCTCAATGAGCTGAGCCAGCACATTAGACGCAGTCGAGAGGGCAGCAGCCTGAAAAGTAGCGGCGAGAATGGGAGAAGGCATCTTTAAAGCAAGCAGCGACTATAACGAGCGAATTGTAAAGCACAAAGCGATTGATTGATTGTGGGTTACGAGATGAGATGCCGCCCTTGAGATGATGTTGCTACTTTGCAGTGAGTGAGCGACGAGTGGAGAGGCCTTGTTTCACGTGTTGCGACGCGTGCTTTGCAGGCCCGGGATAAGTAAAGATCCGCTTACCCTCTGACCCCTTTTCTCATCCCTTATTTCTCCATAAATTCCAGACGTCGTATCCGTGTTTGAGAATGAGCATACGAGCAGGTATTTTCAGGGCAGATTTCAAGAATACTAGAGGCTTTTAGCCACCATTCTCAAGAGATTGTCCATTCTGGTCATGGTGGCTCAATATGGGGAAAACGCCAGCCCAAACAATCCCTGTCACTCTGGCCCCACAGCTTCAAAGGTCCAGGGTAGATGGGTAGGTAGATATCGAGACAGACCAGACAACTCACCCTTGAAGTTAATATCAAGGAAAATTAATATTAATTCTATCAATATTCACCTATCTGAACAGGGCCTATATGAGACGTCTTCTTCCAGGAATATGCGTTCATGCGCGCTTCTGTCTCACATGTTGCCATGCACCGCTCAAACCTTTCACCGCAGGAGAATAATTTGTTAAGGGAGCATATCGTGTTGAAAAGATTAAAGTTTCAAGACACATTAAGGCCATGTCTATGATTTTTTAATATCTATACTCACTATTGAAAGAGTCTATTGGAATTACGCTTGAGAATATGCCCACCATCGCATACATGCTTCTGACCCAAGCACGTGGCCCTGTGTAACTCTACAATAAGAAGTGCTTTTCGGCCTCGAGCGCTGGGGTTTTCTATGAATGGGCTTAAGAAATAAGTTTCGTATAGCTACTCAAGTTTTAAAGGTGTATGGTCTTGACATGAGTGGTGTTGCGCGGGCGTACTTGGGCATCACTAGCATAAGCAAGTACACACCGGGTACATCAAAGAGCCGAGGACTTGAAATAATCCTGCGTTTGCAAGTGAATAGCACAATAGTGTTCTCAAGACTCTATCATTGCGAAATTCCAACAATTTGAACTCAGTGTGCTGGCATGAGCATATGCCCTGGCCAGTAGGAACTCCCCGTGAACCGTATCAGTATCTCCTCTCCACCAGTCACATCCATGCAGAAACCAGCATCCGAGTCTCAGAGGGAGCCAATGACGGCCAGGTCGGAGATAAGACCCGAAATACTATGGAAAGATGGATTTCGCCAACCGAGGTTCCAATCAAAGGCAGTTCACAGCTTCATCAACAGGGAGAATCCGGTTGGCCTTGAAAGGAACAGTGCATTACCTCGGTTGTATGATCATGTTGATAGCGTGGTATGCCTCTGCTTGATCCCACTGTGCCCTCCTACAGCACTTCCCTGATATCGTCCAGCACTCAAACACTGCACAATGACATGTTGCTGTGACATAACCCCACGGGCTACCCGGCATTCCTACCCATTTACATAATGCATCAACCGTCCTCACAGAAGTACAGGGAGCTGCAACGGATTCTTGAACAGCTCGTAGAGAACCCTACTAAATAGGTTTGCTTATCCGTAACAACTGCGTCACGCGCCTGCAACCGAAGCCGCCCTGCCTCGTATCATCAGCCTCTAGGTCTCGACCTCCCTCACAAACCCGAGCCGTTATCACGCCCGCCCACTCTCATCCACCTTCTGTAAGTGGTACACACCCTCTCCGCGTCCGGTGGCGTATCCACCGTGTACCTGTGTCCTTTTATCACTGCCGATCCGATAAGCTTGCTTCTGTACCCCGCGTTTGTCCTAGTCCCCAACTGGCAATGTTAACCCGCGGGCGGTTTTCTCCAACTGTGACCTGATCCGGTCGTATTTGACGTGTGTCTTGCTCTCTGCAATGTAATCGAGGGGGTGTTTGTGCAAGAGTTACTCATAAAAAAAGGAATCCCGCAACTTGGAGTTCCGAGATTGCTACCTACGTCGATAATGTTTGTTCCGAATCCTTTCCATTAAGCAAATAGGCGAACGGTAATCATGCTTGTCTTTTCCGAGACTCTTCAGCCTGCGACGGTCAAGACAGTGCTCGCTCTGTCTTTCTGTTTTAGCGCTGTTGCATGCCTTGGCATCCTCGCTCATACCCTTATTCACAAGCGAAAGGCGATCACTCAATACACGCGATGGCCGTCATCTCCTCCTCCAGAGCCGGTAAAGAGGACTTCTGAGGTGGATTACACCAAGGTGTTTCCGCCCTCGCAGCGACATGTTCTCCAAGAGATCTCGTCCGAATTCGCAACAAACCCTGTAGATCTTGCCTTCAAGCCTCTTTTGAGACTGGATGAGGACTATCGCACTGCTAGTCCCGCCAAATACAACTTTACCGGCTTCAGCGTCAGTGAGCTCAAGAAGCTCGGTGACTTTCCCGACTATGCAAAGCTATCCGGTGTCCCTCTGCCTGCGCCTCTGAAAAACTTCAATGCCAAAACTGCGCTCCCGAGACCTTATCGTCCTTTCCGGTGGGCTTACCACCAAACAATGTGTAAGTGATAGTGGATCCAACTCGAACCCACTGGAGCTAATATGCAATAGCTTTCAAGAAACTAGACACGGATTTTTGGTTGGAAGTGGAGAATACCTATCCAGAACGCATCCGTCAGCGTCAGGAACTTTACGCTAAGCACGGTAAAGACGTGCTGCAGGCGCTTCCGGGTTCTGAACTCGCAGTCAAGGAGCTTATGGAGATGATCATCCAGTTTCTCTGTGCACGATATCCTCAGGCATTTGAACTCCACGGCAACACTTTTGTGAACCACATTCTAGGAAACAAGCAGGATCTGGACAGGATTGAACCCCTGCATTTTATCCTCAACCACGTCCCTGAGGACTTTGCACTCACACTGCGGGATCCCGCAACGGGTCGATATACCTTCAGAGCTGGTGTGATCTGTTCTTCTGTTGGTTGGAAGCTGAGTCAGAAGATGGGACTTGGGTTGCCAGAGATTCATGCCCCGGTGCCTGACTATAAAGAGAAGATGGAATTTAGCATGGATCGGTAAGCACAGCCCATCTCTAAGTGATCATTAGCTTACTCGTATAGTTTCTTCACAAAGATGCCCGCAAACAGTCCAATCCAACGAGGCTCATGGGGTCTCGAGATCGGACAGCCCCTGTTTCTCCCCGCCGACCACCCCGATTTCAGCCACCGAGACTCACAAAACCCATCTCTAACCCCAGAAGATCTCCACCTACGAGTAGACTGGCAAACCCTCCGCAGACTTCCCCTCTCCGGGGCCATCGTCTTCAACTTCAAAGCCCTCTTCACATCACTATCCGAATTCCGAGACGAGCCCTACATTCCCTCTCTTGTCCTCAAGGTCCTAAACGAAGGAAAAGAGAACCTCATGAAGTATAAAGGCACATGGCATGTAGAGCACGTCGCAAAGCCAACTTTGAAAGAGTGGGAGCGTGAGCAGGTGGAGAAGGGCTTGATTCCAAAGGATTGGGAGCCGCGCACTTTGGATGAGATGCCTTTCTTTCCAGGGTGGGAGAGAAAATGGAATTTGGAATGATTTGATGTGTAATGAATGTGAAGTACAAGTAGCTTAGCGAAATTTACTCTGATGATGAACCTCATCTTGAACAGGATATTCTCTTGCATGGCTGCAGTCCTTCGTCCTTCGTATCACGGCATCATATCAGTACCCAAGAATGAAAATAACCGGACAAGACTCTCGGAACCCGATCACCGAGACACAGCACAAGCAAGATTTCTAGTACAAATGTGTAAGTGATATCTGATCGGGAATGCGGTATTTAAACATAACTAGAAATTCATGATGCATCGCTCAATGCCTCGTAACCATATCTACAACTATTTTGATATTTACAGACACTCCCCACACAAACACCACCCTCTACCACGGGTATTTCCTCACCTCATCCTCCTTCTCGAGGTTCAATCCCCTCGCCAACTGCTTCTCATGCTCTCTGTCAAGATACTCAAGCAACACACCTCCATACTTCTCCTTGCCCTTGTAGTTAGACACCTTGTCGTCCCAGCTGCGCACAGCACTGGCCAGACGACCTGGTACGTAGTCTTCCTTAACAATATCGGTAACAGGATGGAAGTACGTGCGGATGGTAAAGACAATAGCACCTGTCTTGGGCAACCGACGGAGAGACTGACGCTCAGAGCGGAACATGTGATGCTCAATCGCCTTGTCTTTCTGCGCAGTGCTCCAACTAACAACAGGGTCATCTTCACCACCAATGCTCCAGCTCCAGGCGAGAGCATCATCAACTTGGAGGAAGTAGTTGTTGCGGCAGTAGACAGACTCGCACTTGAGACGCTTGAAGAACTTGCACATGCCAGTCTCGAGCTTCTCCTTGAAATGCGGCACATCACCAGAGTAGTGAATATCCGAGAGCGACATGCCGTACTTGTCTGAAAGACGCCAGAAGCCTGCTAGGAGTACAGCGCCGGCCAAGAGGTAGTATTGTCCGTCGGGACGCTCAATCATTAGGGCAAGATCGTCCTGGACGAGACGGGCGCAGATGGCCATTGGGTCTTCGGCGAGGGGACGTTCGACAATGTTGAAGTCTTCACCAGACCACTTGTTCTTGATTCCAACTGGTGTTCGCTCGAAAAGGGTCGGGTATCGAGAGGGGAGGTACTCTGTGAGTTCCTGGAGGAGTTCGATGGCGGCGGGATAAGCGTCGGGATGAGTAGCGACACACTTTTCACCACGCTCCTCAATACGAGCCTTCTTGTCGGCATGGTACTTGGGATAGTCGCTATCCAACTCTATCCACTCCTCCGAAGACACGGTACGCAGACCCATGGTGACCTGGTACTTTGGCCCGTAGCGGAATGCCCGATAGGGGAGGGGCTTGGTCTTTTCAATGGACCAGCCGGGATAAGGCTCAGGAATTGGAGTCTTGTAGTCGCTGGGTTCCCAGCCAGCAGAGAGTGGTGGGAGGTCATTGTTGAGTTTGGATTTGCGGGTTGAGAAGATGTTGAATATTTGGTAGGCGACGAAGGAGATGCCTGTCAAGATGCTGAGGACGACGATGG